AACCATCCAACCATCTTGTACCTACTGCGCATGTCCGTCATTTTGAATCCGCAATTTTGTTTTTTATTAATGGATATCGAACGACGAATTTTCGTCATAATGGATCAGCCATTTTATTTAAAAAAAAATGGATATCAAATTTGTAATCAGGCCCTCAAAAACCACATGTTGTTGATAAGTTTATTGAATAAGCAATGCTTATTAAGCATACGGGTTTTTTTAATAGTATAAGGAGTGCCATAGATATGCTTACACAGGGTAAAGTTTAAAAATTATTATTATTTTATAAGTAATTTTTTCTTGGTTAACGTTAAGTTGTGTTATAAAATAATACAACGTTAACCAGGAACAAATTTTGTTTATTATGAAATGCGAATAATGTTCTCATTGGTCCAAATAAATATCGTCATTTATGTGCAAAATTATAATTTTTATGTAAAAAAAAATTGTTTTTTATAATCGAGAGAACGAGAGAGATCGAGAGAAACGAGAAATTCTCGAGCGAGAGAGGGCATTCTCTCGTCTCGTCTCGAGCCTTTTTTCGAGAGAAAATCGCCCTCTCGTCTCGTCGAGACGAGACGAGACGAGACGAGAGGCGAGAATCTCTCGTATCGGCGGCATCACTATTCAGGATCTCTTCGACTTATCACAACTAAGCGTCAGCGTATTTTGCATTCATGATTTAAAATCTGATAAAAGGAATTGCTGCAAAAGGCCTAAATGAAGTGTGTTCTTTTTTAAGGGATTATATCTCCAACTATGCAGATCCAAACTCAAAAGAACTAATATTTTTTTCGATAACTTGTCCGAGGCAAAATAAAAAACATACAATTGTAAGGTATTTCCTATTCGTGGGGTAATAAAGAGGTCATTAAAAAAATATGACAGGATATATTTGGTCCATAGGTAAAAACGTACCCAGAAATCTTAAGTCCACTTTCAACATTTTTCAGTATCATCATTTCATACACAATAGTAATATGGGATGAGTTGTTAAAACTTTAAAATTTGGGAGGAGTTGTTAAAACTTTAGAATTTCTTAATGATGACACAGCATATGTGGGTGATAAAATTCCAATACTGAACACAAAAATTGAGCATCCAAGGCGTCTGATACGATGGGTATACCCATAATAATAATTATAATTAAAGAACATAATAAATTGTTCTGTTACATAAATCCTTAACTCTAATAAAGTTTTCCAAAAAAAATCTTCTTTTAGTAGTTGAATATTAAATGGAATTAAGTCCATTTTTTTAATTTCCTAATAAAAAAATTATAAAAGCTTATTATTTAATTTGTATTAACATATAGATATCATTCACTTTGTATGTATACCATAACTTTTTTTAAAATCGTAATAGTATACTTAGTATACTATACTACTACTACTACTACTACACTGAAAAAAATCCTGCATGCAGTATTAACAAAAAGGTTTTGTAGACCATTTTTATACAAAACTTGTTTAAATAAACCAAAAAGACTGTTAAAACAACAAACTATTTAACAAAATTAGAATCAACAAAATTTTGTAATTGTTGAACTAACAACTTGAAATTTGTAAAATTTTATAAGAAAAATTTTATTAAAGAACTAAAAAAAACGTTTAATTTACAAACTATTTTGTTAAAATTATGGCAGCTTATTATAACTACAAACAAATTTGTTATATAAATCAAAATGTGTTAATACTACAATTTGAAAATTTCGTCAATTGAACGAAATTATTTTGTCAGTGCAGCTGATAAAATATTCTTTAACAATTTGTTGTATTGACAAAATACTTTTGTATATCCTACTAACAAATTAAATTGCCGCAATTTTTATTTTCAACAAAAACGAAAGTGTTTATGTTACATTTTTCTTTTATCCAAATTATTAAGTTTTTGTTCTCTTAACAATAATTTGGTTAAACCAAAAAAAGCGGGCCATATATAGCAACACTGCTACTTGGCAAATGTATTCTGACAGTGTGCATTCTTTTCAACTCTAGGTACTCTTCATATTTCCATTTATAATTGTTAATTTGTTTATTTGATGAATAATTATTTCTGTGAAATTTATAAGATTTAAAATGTGAATGTATGCCGGTATTGGTCAATGTATTAAGTATTTACCACCTTTCTACAGTTTCGTTTCTAGTGCATCGAAAATATTAAGGTAACGCTTTTATTATTTTACGAGTATACAGGGTCCTGCAGCTCAGCTTCCGTCTTTTGTAGCTCAGTTATTAATTAAGTTGGGATTATAATATTTGGCAGACTTTACCTGCGTAATGGGACCCATTTCAGGAAATTATTTTTGATTATACAGTCCCAAAAAAGTGACGCTATGATGATATATATTTTTTAAAATGAAATGCCATATATTTTTTTTCTTATTTGGATGCCTCTTTTAATTACCTATGTACGAGTATATATATTTGTAAAAGACATTTTTATTTTTGTAAAATTATTTATACTTAATTTATTAATAAAGTAAGTTTCTTTGTTTCGAATACTTCTAGTATTTTTTCGTATAATTTAAATTACCTTCACCCAATTTACTAAATTTGGAGCGCCGTAAGTAATTCATTTAATTTTCTCAATACCTTACCTTACTTACCATAAATTTTTCAGGTAAGTATTAACAAACTATAAATATTTATACATCGAAATTTAAATTATGTAATTAACATTAAAATTAAAAGTTAAAGATTCCGTAAAACAATTTTTAAATTTAATCTGGTGTATAAATCCTTCTTTTGAATTATATTGATGTATATACAAAAATACAGTATTCTTGTAGTAAAATGAACAACATTTTAGTATAAAATAATATAGCGTTTTGTTATTTCAACAAAAGTTCATTTGTTAAACAAAAATAATTAATTTGTCAAATGTCTATACAAATTATGTTCTATTAACGAATTACGTTGCAAAAATTTAACAAAAGGTTTTGTTATTCCAACAAATAATTTTGATTTACGCAATAAAAAAATTTTTTAACCTAAAAAATATTTTGTCATCTGTACGAAATTCTTATTTCGATCGCACAATTATTTTGTTGGATTTTAACAAATTAAATTGTATATGTTACTAATAATTTTGTTTTATCAACAATGTACATATTTTGTTATATTAACTAAAGGTATACATTCAGATGATAAAATTTATGTAGGGTGAAATACTACAAAAGATGTTGTTAAATGAACCTATAAGTTTTATGATATTTGCAGAGATTTTTCTTTCAGTGTAATAAGTTTTACGTGAGCCTTTTGATTTTAATTATTAAAACATGCATTTAACAATTAAAATCAAGGACCTCAGTAGTGAGGGGAGTTCAAGCCTAAATATTGTCATCGTTGAAAACTAGAAGATTGACTCAAAAAAGGTTTCTTTTTAAATAAAATAAGATATATCTCTATCATATATATTTGATATATACAAAAACGCAAGTTTTTTTATACTAACACTAATAAAGTAACATAAATATTATTTAACATAAAATTTGTATAACATATTTTAATTAATACCTTACCTTCAAAAACATTGAGCAAATTAATTAAATTTCATTTATTTAAAAAGAGTTTTAATGATTCCAACTCCACTGTGAAAGTACATACACGCTACAACACAACACAACCAGCAAAATGTATATATACATATACATATATGTTATTTTTTTTACATAACTGCAAAGTTAATTTAACAAATCGTGTTGGGTCAATTTTATTTTTTTTAATGGTTATTTTTACCTAAACTAATAATTAATATGATTTAAAATCTGTATAATTTTAACATAATTAAATATGTAAAATTTGTTTATATTTTATTTATTTTACACAAAGAAGTGTTACTTACATATAACTTTATATTAATTTTAATTCATTAAATTTTTTTAATTTGTTGTTTTAATAATATTTTTAATTAATTTTTACATTAACAATTGTTTATTTTCAATTCTGATAAAATATTTAAATTAATATAAAAATATTGGTTTTTGGACAAAAAATAAAACATGTAAGTGTGTAATAATAATAATTTATTATACTACAACATAATTTAAAAAAAGGCCAGCAATGAAGCATAGGAATTCACTAAAATTTCACAGTCCAGTGCTTTTTTTTGTATTCCAAAATAAAATACAAATCCATGCCATAGGTTAAACGGTCTTCAAACATTTCTGGGGATACAAACGTTATGTAAGTAAAAAAAACATTATCATAGCAAACTTACCTTTAAATTTTGTTAAACACACAATCGTTAAAATAAATTGCCTTTCTTGTAAAATAATACTAAATTTGAAAATTATTTCATTATCTCAATACAAAAATACAAAAGTATTAAATAGTTTCTCAACGCCAATATTTGAAAAGTTTATATGAACATTGTACTGACCTTTTAATTTCGTCGGCAGTAAACTATAACTTAAATTTGGGCACGGACTCCACTGTAAAGTGCTCATAAAACATGTTCTTTATTTTCACTGTGAAAAACTGTCAATTTTCAAGAAATACATTGTGTTTATAAAATATAAAAATTTGACATTTGACTAGGTATATTATTATACTACAATGTACAAAAAAATTATTATTTAATATTCTTATGAAATTTTAAGATTTTAGTTATTATAATTTTTGTATCAAGTAACACATATCATTTGTTATAAACACTAGGAAGTTTATGTAAATTTTTACATTTTACAGTGTAGTGTTAACCTTTAAACATAAATCATTTATGTCCGAAATAGGTTTCTTCCAAACCGAAGAATCCTAACTAAGCTTTGTGCACTCGGTCATTACTACAATTACTTCTTTTTTATTTGCTCGGTTTACCAGCAGAAAATGTATTACAATATGCATATCGCAAGTAGGCAGAAACGCGCAAAAAATGCGTCTCACCGGTGTTGGACACTTTCTCCTAGACCGGAGTGCAGTCGCACGATAATAGGGGGTCATTTCGTCTATTAGCCCACCCGCCATATCTATAAATGTAAGTGCCCGACAGATTTGTCCCACTGTGGTTTTGTGATATTTGCGCCGAGCATTGGATATTATTCTTGTTGCAATGTTTAGTTTATCGGTAAGTCACTTTAATAATATTTATAATAATAAGAATTAAGAAATGTTAGAAGCAAATGCCAAAATAAAATGTTTACTAGCAGTTAAAAGAACCGTTCATGAAATTAAAATAAAACAAATTAAAATTTCAGAAATTTATTTTAACCTTTAAACCTTTTTTTGGTCCAACCACTAAAAATATTTAAAAAAATACACAGATTATTAAAATAATATTATCGTAATATTTAATCAAATTATTAATTTAATGCACAATTAGTAGTGAAATAATAAACATGGGAGCAGTTTTAATTTTTAAAATTACTTGGATTCATAAATTTAAAGGTTAAAAAATAAATTGCTACTTAATCAAATAATCAAAATATTTATTCAAAAAATGTTACTACCTACTTAAAAAATAATGTTTTATTTAAAATATTGAATAATAATTATTATTAATTATTAAACCAAATATAAAAGTATGTAAATATACCTAACTAACTGGAAAGGTTAAAAATATCAAATTTATTTAAAAAAACTTTATTAGAAAAACATAAATTTATTTAAACACAAAATAAAACATAATAGATTTAAATCAATTTTTTTTAAATTTCACAAAAATTATGATTTTTAATGGTTTTAACTACAAACAAAAGTTTAATTGAATACGTATACACTACTTAAATACGTATACAATACTTAAATATGTATACTAGGGTACAAAAATGTATAATTGTTTTTTTTCGCCCTTACCTTCTTAAATGTTTCTATTTAATATAAAAAAAAATTCTCACCAAATATGGGTGTTCCAGCTCAACTCTAAGAGGTCGCTGTTTTTATTTTAGTTTCTCATTTAAGTAACATGGGAGAAAATAACTTTATGTTTGGAATTTTATACCTCTGTATCAAAGTAACTTATGGCAATAATAATTTCAGTTTCTTATTTTTTTTAAATTGTTTTTGGGCTATAAACTTACAATTTAAACGATACTCAAGTGAAAAAGCAAAGTTGGTAATCTCTCTCTATGATTTTCTTGTGTAGTTTTTTTCATGGAAGCGTTTTCTGAGGTTTTTTGACGTTTTAGAGTATACTTCGAGTTCTAATTGATGGATTTGAAACAACAAGCACTTAAATCAAAGGTAATTGAGCCCTCTACAACTTTCTTTTGTATAGTTTGGTATCGGCTCAGTAGTTCGATACTGGCGATTTTATGAAGTTGAAAAGTCCTTTTTTACAAAAATCGAAGTGGAAAATTTACATACTTTTCCAGTTTGATTTATTTTATATATAGATTATACTTAAAGGAAAAAAATAAGCTGCTGTTTATAAAAATCCATGGATAAATAGCGAAGTTATGAATTTTTTAGTGGAAGACCAAAATTCAGTTTTTCGAGAATTTTAACTTTTTTTCTTCATTTTAAGATTTAATATTGAACATTATATTTATTTTAAACATAAAATATTAAAATTAAATTATATATTGGATATTGAACAATAAATATTGAACATTGAAGATATTGAAAGTTTTATTTTGTTGTAATAAGCTTAGGTTTAAAAAAATTCTGGCATCTTCTTTGTTTTTTGTTGTTTTCGTATTCCGTTTCTCGTATGTAATCACCCATCATAGCTGCATCCCAGAAGCCGTGATACCGCCGCTCCATAGCCTTCATTTGCTGGTGAAAACGTTCTCCATGCTCATCACTTACGTCGCCCAGATTGTCCGGGTTATTTACGCACTCGAACTCTCTACTTCTTTTACTCATTTTACTTTTTATTAACTAAATAAAACCATGATAAAAATACCTTGTTATACGAGTAATAGCAGTAAAATGTCACTATGCCAACAGGAGAACCAAAAGAAATCATATTTGCGGAGGCATGTCAAATTTAAGTTTTGCATAATGTTTTCGGTGAAAAAAGTACTTAAAAACTCAAAAAATTCCAATTATGCACTTTACTTCGGTTTTCATTAAAAAATAAACATATTACAAAATAAAAGAAAAATCGCCAAAAATATGAATTTTGGTCTTCCACTAAAAAATTCATAACTTTTTTTTTCCATGTATCAACATTAGCTTGTTATTTTGTAAAAATGTCAGCTTCACGAAAAAAAATTCAAACTGGAGTTATCTGTTTGATATAAACCTTTCCCAGGACATGTATTTATTGTATGTAAATTTCGACCTCAATTTTTGCCATAAAACGAATTTTTTAAGTTATTAAAATCGCAAGCGTCAAAATACTTAACCGATATCAAAAGTATGTAAAATAAAGTTTTAGAGGGCTCAAACAAAGATAATACACCCCATAGATTGGAAACTCTCCCACCACTGCCCTCTAGAGCTACAATACCTGAACTACATATATTTGTAAATTGCAGACATCTGTACAAACGCTATTTGCAAATGTCAATGTCAATCATAATTATTGATGTCGATCATAATTTTAGAATAATTAAATACATTTTTGCGCCTTAAAAGTGATAAAACGTGTTAATGGTTGTGAAATGTATTGTTGTTGGGTGCGGAAATGTAACCAATTTGTAAGTATTGATTATCCTGCCATCCTTAGCCAAAAAGACTCATCTCGTTATTATTAAATTATTCTCTTAGCAAAAAAGACGCATTTTCACTATACATACATTTTTAAGTACTATATCTCCTAAAAATGTCTAATTAAATTGAACGTATCTTATGAAAAAAAAAATAAAGCGCTATAATTTATAAAGTAAAAATGTGGAGTTGTGTCTTTTTGGCTAAGCTCGGCAGTATCGCTCTAGCGTAAAAATACTGTTTGTTAATTATGAATTATTTAGGATTGCTTGTTTAATGCTAATTTAGTCCAGGCCAAGCCCAGGCTACTTATGGTTGTTTCAAAACCAAGAGTTGGCAAGATGGATTTTTCACGGTTGGTTAGAACTTCCCAAAAGTCCACACTCAAAAGCCTTGTACTAATTCCTATATGTATATGTATAAGTAGCCTGGACTAAATTAGCAAATTTTGCAATATTCTCTTATTAATGAAAAATTAAGACTAATATTTTTAGGTTTGCACTCCCCCAACAAAAACATATATATGTATACCGATTATGTATTTAATATGTACATATAGATGTATGTATTTTATTTTATATTATATTATTACTACAATAAATAAATCTTATATTCATACTTGTTTTATTTAAAATACAGCTGTAAATACAATATATAAACTTTATTATTTATTATTTTATATATTTATATTATAAAGGCACCCTACTAAGCATCAACATTCAAATATGGCGCCAATATATGTTACAGAAATCTACTTTAATTTTCGGAATTGCTAAGGGTATTGTAGACCTAGATGGCGTTAATTTACTTTAGCCTTTTGCCGCTAGCGCTAGTGCAGCTTCCAATCTATGGGGTGTATTATCTTTGGGCTCAAATACCTTCAAATTAAGGGCTTGTTTGACCAAATCGATTAATTAGATATCAAGCTATACTCAAAAACGTCAACTAGTGTAATTTGTGTTACATCTCGTAGGTGTATGGTCTAGTCGTCGTTCTAGCTCTGAACGCGAACTGCCAGCGATACAATGGCGGCGGGGACGGCGGAGAGGCAGCAAATTACGTTTATCGGCCGCAGGAACCACAGTCAGACTACAACAGCAACTACCAGAACACTCCGCCGCCGCCGCAGATTCTGTCGCACAAGCAGGCGTTGAACCACGACGGCAACTTCAAGTACCTGTTCACGTCGGAAAACGGGCTCGCGCAAGGCGAGAGCATCGCTCCCGACGGGTCCCGTAACGGCGGTTACAGCTACGTCGACCCCACCGGAAGGAAGATCGTAGTCAAGTACACCGCTGGGAAAGAAGGTGAGTCGTGTCAAGTGTCACATCTGACCTACCTACGACGGAAAATCCCTGTTAAGTGCTCTCGCATTTCTTTACCGTAAAATACAACTTTTCAAAGGAAAAATTGAACCTACACCTCGACAAAGTTTTTTGTTTGGAGTGCGTTCCACCAACTTCAAATACCGACAGACAACTTGGTGTAGTGGAACGCACCCAAAACAAAGTACTCCCTCAGCTTATATGCTGGGTTCGTAAGCCAACAGAGGCGAGATGTAAGAACACCCAAGTGTTTTGCGACAGTCGCCGGTCTCTTTATATTACTCTTTCATTACTAAGTTACGACTAAAGTGGGGAACAATTATTGAGTTCCAAAAAGATAACAAATATGTCTCTAGCTATAAACCCTGCTACTAAACTACGCACCACTCAATCTGTCGCGACCAAAAAGTTCGTCCTTTTTCAAAACGACATAACTTTTTTGTTTCTTAAACGATTTTATTTTGGTCTGTGATGTCTGCTAGCCCCATCCTCTGGCAATTCATGCCATAGATATGAAGCTCACGGTTCTTCAAGTAAATTTCGTACAGGGTTATATGTAAAACGGTGAAAAATTTCAATAACTTCATACAAGCCCCGTTTGAAAAAAGAAAATTTTTTTCTCGTTTTTACTTTGAAATAATGAAGTATTATGTCTTACCTTGAAAGGGTTTTCAAATTTTTCGAATTGGAATCTTAGCAACGAAAATATGATTTTTTTTCAAGAGTACATTTAAGGGGTTTTGGTATTTTTAAGAACAAGAAGATAAAATGGTGAAAGATTGTTCCTTAAATAGTTTTGAACAAGGGACAAGCAACAAACTTCCATTATTTTTAGAGGGGCCTAAGTAAATACCACTATTTCAAAATGACATTTTGGTGGAAATTTGCGAAAACTAAACCTGAACCGATATATACGTACGTGTATATTGTTTGTTACATTTTTCTGTTTAAAGTTATAGTTTTGATTATGATTATATCTTCGCATAAAATTTTCGAAAATGAACAATAGTAGATTATGTCATAAGGAGTAGAAGTGACTCTTTTTGTGGTGAGTACAGAGATTGACGGCCGAAGCGTAGCTGAGGCTGGCAACTGTACGAAGCACAAAAAGAGCTTCTACTCCAAATAACATATACAATTTTTTTTTCAAGGGCGTAATATAAATAGGATAAGAAATAGAATTATTTTATCTACTCATGTGGTATAAAATTTTGGCTAAAAGCATTAGAAATTATTGATAAAAACTAAAAAAACTTATAACCCTTACTTACAATGCCCATAAATATCCTAAACTAAAAATAAACACTGCTCTGTCAAAATGCTGCGCTTGAATTAATTTTGACGTACTGACATTTGTTTGGAGTTCCGACATTGGCGACTCGTCTATCATCATAATATTATACTAATAAACTAGTTGTTCTTTATTTCGTTAAATTAAAATTTAATAAATAATCCCTAAATATTCCGTGCGATTATAATTAATATAATTAATACATCGTGATTGCTTTGTATGTTATGCTAAATTAATTTTATTATTTGACGTCTATTGGGACACCTATGGATTTACTTCTATCCCTAGGCTTTTTTGAGTTTTTTGTCTGCCGCTAATGAAAAAGACGCACTTCAACTATCTCTATACAGGCATATAAGGTTGTATATCATGGCCGCTTGAAAAAAAACATATTTTTATTTAACTTTATTACCAATTAGGTAGGTAGGTACTTATCAGTGATAAGTCCAAATGGTATTTTAATCATAAATATGCAAGAAACACGCCAGCAATACGATTTTATTAAGACATTTAACAGCCGGGAATTGTTTTCGAATTTTGATTCTTGGTTATTTAGGTTTTATCTAAAACTTAAATTTGACAACTGAATTACAATCAGGAGATCATAATTATAAAGTAAACATGTCACGAACGTAAATATCGGTTTAGGTTTAGTTTTCTCAAATTTTCACCAAAATGTTATTTTGAAAAAGTGGTCTTTGCTTCAGGCCCGGCTCCAGACATTTTGGTACCCCGTGCAAAAATATTTTTGCCGCCCCTCATAGTTACCTACTTTTTAGTGCATATTAATTAGGTACAATTCCTAAAAAAAAAACACTTAAATAATATCGTCCCCTTCATGCTACAATTGGATATCTGAAAAAACACATTTGTAAATAAAATATTCTAAAATTGGTATGTAAGTATTTAGTAGAACTGGATTCGTAAAATTTCGATTTATCCAGTTGTAGCATTAAGGGAAAGATAAAATTAACAAAAAAGTTTAAAAAATTATTATTTAATAAAAAATAAATAAAATATCATCGCATTCTAAAAAAACAGTAATATATTCTAATAATAATTATTTTATCTAACATTATAAAACTGACCAGTAGTAAAAATAAGAAAAATCTGTTTAAATTAAAATTAAATTGGAAATATCTAATTTAGAACCTATATCGTGTTGTATTGAATAACTTTTTGCCACGTTTCGATTTTTGCCGCCCAAACGGGGCTTGGATGAAGTTATTGAAATTTTTCAACGTTTAATATATCACCCTATAGAAAATTTACTTGAAGAACCGTGAGTTTCATATCTATAGCATGAATTGCCAGATGAGGCTAGCAGACAACACAGACTAAAATAAAATAGTTCAAGAAACAAAAAAGTTATGTCGTTTTAAAAAAGAACGAACTTTTTGGTCGCGACACATTGAGTGATGCGCAGTTTATTTGGAACGTAGCTGCTACGGTACTAGAACGTTCCAATATCGTTGCTAGAGCCTTAGAATTACTTGTATATTAACTGTCTTTATCAAACTTATATTAGATTATACTATTCCTCCTTTTTTAAATGGAACCACTACGGACTTGGCTTTTCAATGTCGTCGTTTATTAAATATGTACTGGTAGTTTATAACTTCCAGAATAACAATATAATGTTTAATTAGGCAGCAAACTTCTAAAACCTTAAATTTTACTGTTGAACTTATGAATTTAGTTTTTGTAAAATAAATGCGCTTCATCAATATTTAATTATAAAAAAATGATTTATTTAATAATGTTTATAAATAAAAAATTCTTAATATTTATTATTAATTTTGTATTGAATTATTAATACCGCCTATTACCAACAAAATTACTATTTATTAAAAAGTAAACAACCATTTCCAAACAATTAAAATAATTTATTATTTACATTACCACGTGGCACTGTAAGTACAGTAAAAAATGGCCGATAAGAAGCATTTTCCTTTGAAGTAGTTTTCGGTACTTTAAAGTTTTTTCCACCTTAATTTACTTTACGGTGGTTTTGGTTAGTACAATAAACGTTCCAAATACTAAAATATCAACTTTTAAGTTATTAACTTTGTAGTTTTTAACTCATGTTCCAGTTTCGAGATTTTAACTTGCAAGGGGTCTACAAAGTAAAAATAATTATAATGTAATCTTTAGGTAGCAGCCGAAAGTAACTGCTACAAATTAAATTTACTTGAAAGTTTTTTTTACTTATAACATCCTTTTTAAAGTTGCAAAGTCTTCTTGGGGGCAACCAAGTTTTACTTAAATGTTTATTACTTTATAGTAACCATTTAAGGAGTGAAGTTTCTGTTACGAAATATTGTTATTTAAAAATTACTTTTAAGTAAGAATTAAAGTAGCTGTTTAGTATACTTAACTAATTTAAAGTTATCACCACTTTGGTAATGGTTTTTGGAACCAAAAATGGGCGTCCGTTGATCCACACCGTCTAACAACCATATCATTGAGTAAAGAACTTTACTCAATGACCATATACATATAAGTTATATATGATATAACTAGTTATAGTTATAGGTATATGCTAACAACGTAGCCTTTGCCGCAATTGGTACATAGTATGCAACCAAGACTGCACACAGCAATTGTATGATACAATACAATTTGTATCACACATACTTATATGGGCCTAAAGGAATCTAGAATGAGACACAATATATGTAGGTCGAAACAGCTGTCTGTCGGTATTTAAAGTTGGTGGACGTACTCAAAACAAAAAACTTTGGCGAGGTGTAGGTTCAATTTTTTCATATGAATATTACCAGTAATGGGTCAAGAAATTTTATAAAAAAAACTAAGAAAATTGAATGTTTACAACATTTAAATAATTTTCAAAATTATTTTGTTACTTAACAAGTTTTTTTCGTTGTTCCGCAAACAATAATCTAGTAATCTTAGATTCTAGAATGTTAGCAGTCATTAAAAATATTTCAAAGTTGCCAAATCAAATGGTCCGCTTATTGGTTAGAAATTTATCTAAATACTTACCGCGTAAGTATTACTCCCTTACGCTTTTATTATATTTTTCTATGAAATTTTTACCCAATGTTTAGCTACTTATAAAGCTATTTTTTGTGCAATCGTTACATCTTTTCCATTACATATATGCAGGGCCGTCTTAAGATATTCAGCGTCTGTGGGCTACTAAAAATGCGACCTTCTCCATAAGAGGAGTTAGTGAGAAGGCTTATACAAGTTATACAAAAGTATCAGAACTAGATTGCATAAAAACATAAAATTCATACAAAATTTAAAAAAAACTATTCAAACAAAATAAACTTTATAGTAAACAAAATACAAAAGTAACTAAACAAAAACAAAATTCATACAAAATTAAAAATCTATATGAACAAAAACAAAATTTATGGTAAACAAAAAACAAAAGCAATTTATATATTTATTTTCCTAGCTTTTTCTTTTGCAAACTGATTTATAATATCACACGTTTACGTGGATAAAATGCTCAAATCATTTAATTGGCTTTGTCCCAACAAGGAAACATATAAGTGTTGAAATTAGACACAAATATGGTGCTTTTGCAACAGTGTTATTAGTAGAAATGTGTTTTACCGTGTTTTAATTTTTTTCTTGAAAATATTTTTAATAAAAATAGTAGGTATCTATATAATAATAACAATAAATACAACATCAATAAAAATTGCGCCTCGGGGCTATAGCCCATTTAGCCCTGTGGTTAGGGTGGCCCTGCATATATGTCTTTATGGATATATCTATTTTATCCATTTATTTTTCATTTATTCTATCGGTTCATTGTATTCTATCTATTCTATCTATTTCATCCATTCTATCTGTTCCATCCATTCCATCTTTTCTATAGAAAAATGGATATATCCATTCTATCTATTCTATTTTTCCATATAGGTATTCTATCTATTCCATCCATTTGATCTTTTTTATTCATTCTATATATTCTCTTTATTGTATCTATTTTATCTATTCTATCTATTCCATCCATCCTATCTATTTCCATCTTTTTTATCAATTCTATCTATTTTATATATATTATCTATTCCATATATTCTATTATTTTATCTAACTATCAATTTTATCTATTATATCTATTCTATTTACTATATATTCTATTTATTCTATCTATTATGTTTAAAAACTAATGGGATGTATTTTAGGATTTAGGATACTAGAAGCAGACCACTTGCCGAAAGCTCCGTTGCCTGTGGCCCCACTTCCAGCCCCCCAACAAACCCAGGCTGCTTACTCCCAACCTTCGTACGGCGGTCAGAACAACAAATACGACGACGGTCAGTATCGTCCTCACCTCTACGAACGCCCCGAAAGACAGGAGTCCCTGCCGAGATATCTGACTGGGGCCCCTCCTCAGCAGAGCTACCCCCAACCTAGGGCGGCCTACGCGCAACCTCAACCTGTGTACCCCAGGTCGGCTCCGCAACAGTCGAACAATTTGGAGGACAAGGAGCCAGAATACAACGATGCTCCCGGAAAACCACACAGTTTTGGAACCGGGTACATTTTCGAGTTTCAAGGATAGAAAAGACATCACCTGTAAATTATAGTATTATTTTACGCAAGAAAACACGAAAGGCTACATTGTAGCCCATTTATAATCCATGGACCAAATACCATAAAGGGGCTATTGCGAACCTATTGTTTTTTTTTGGTAAAAAGTTTTCTCAGCAAAACTTTGATTTTTTTTTTATCTTCTTGTTCCTTATTATAATTTCTATTATACTGATAATGTATATAAAACTGTTAATTGTTAGTAGATAGTATTTTTTAAATCTATGAGACTTGTTTTAGTTTGTATGTTATTGAATTTTATAATAAATAAATAGGTACAATTTAAGCCTGATTTATAATTTGCCTTCCTTCCTTCCTCCCGTAAAAGATGAACAATACAAAAACCGTAGTGCTGTTTATAGATTCCCGTACTCTAAGTCTCCTGTAGAAATTTTCAAGTTTTATCATAAAATAAATTGACTTTTTACAAGAAATTCAAATCGTACGGACAAGCATATATATGGGTCATTTTCAAGAAATACCCGCTTTCAGGAAAATGAAGATCAAAATTTTTTTTGCTTAAATTGACTTTTGGTTAGATTTTTATAAATGTTTAGAGTTTTGTTTACTTACATTTAAGACAGGCAGTGCACTTTTTATTTTTTTTTACGTTTTTTTCAAAAAAACGTGTTTAGCTAACTTTATATATGTATCTCCAGTGGAGATTCTCCACTGTGTTACCAATTTGAAATCCAAAATTTAATTCAATAAAAAAAGTTGTTATAGAAATAATTTGAAATAAAATGTACTTAGTTCACAAACTTCAATTTTTTATTTTATTTTTTATTAAAAATTTTATGCTTTTTTTTAAATATGTATGTTCGTTAAGTTACTTTTTAAAATAAACCATTCCGATTCTTTATTAAAAAAACAATACCATTAATATTTTCTTTTAGTCACAGTATTAATGAGTTAAACTCTAATTTATAAACACGTATGCTCCCGGAAAACCACACAGTTTTGGAACCGGGTACATTTTCGAGTTTCAAGGATAGAAAAAGACATCACCTGTAAATTATAGTATTATTTTACGCAAGAAAACACGAAAGGCTACATTGTAGCCCATTTATAATCCATGGACCAAATACCATAAATGGCCTATTGTTTTTTTTGGGTAAAAAGTTTTCTCAGCAAAAAATACGTATACGATTTTCTGCTGCTTTGATTTTTTTATCTTCTTGTTCCTTATTATAATTTCTATTATACTGATAATGTATATAAAACTGTTAATTGTTAGTAGATAGTATTTTTTAAATCTATGAGACTTGTTTTAGTTTGTATGTTATTGAATTTTATAATAAATAAATAGGTACAATTTAAGCCTGATTTATAATTTACCTTCCTTCCTTCCTACCTTCCTCCCGGAAAAGATGAACAATACAAAGCAATAATGGAATATTCTTAGAACCTTCCCTTATTGCTAAGAATGTTCTTAGGGACTTTTAAAACATTCAATAGATACCCTTTTAATGATGCAATTAGATTCTTAGAAGCTTCTTAAAACCTTCCTAAGAAGCATTCTAAGAACATTTTAAGAATACGTTTTTGGAATGTTCTTAGAAGGTTTCTTATGGAGCTTCTAGAAACCTTTTGAGAATATTTCCAAATATGTCAGATACCCACGTTCTAATATGTTGGATTCTACATTCGTAAAATTCTTCAGGAGGCGACAAATACGCCTTACTGCAAAAAAATTTGCGACATATTAATATATATTTATTTAAAAATATTAAATAAACAATTTGACCTCTAAACCATAAGTTGTATGACATTATAATGTCATACCTATTTCATAAAAAGTAAAATTGAAAAATTTTGTGGGATAAATCATATTGGATTGAAGTTGAAGATAGTTAGGATTATTATACATAAAATTGTTAATTCAGAAATAAAAAATCGGTATACAAATTAATAAATATTTATTTTTAACAAAAAATAAAATATAAAAAAACAAAATATTTCCTTATAAAATAATTCTTCATAAAAGAAAAAACCAAATAGTTCTTCATAAAAAAAACATTTTTCATTGTATCTAAGTTGGATAGAAGATTTTATGTAAAAGCCGGATAATTTAGATACCTATAGTAAAAGTATTTTTGTTATCGAATATTGTTTTAATTTGACAAATAACTATAAAAAAATATTTTGGGTTGAGTTTTTTACTTAGTATTTAATACTAAGTATAGGTACCTTTATACGTAGATTATGGTATATTTTACCATTACCTATATAGCTACCTAACTGAACTGAATATGCTTAACAGAATGTTCCAGGAATATTCCTAAATGAACTTTCTATAGCAATTACTTTCTCAACATTCTAAGCATATGTTTAGAGTGGATTGGGTAAAAAGTTTTCTCAGCAAAAAATACGAATACGATTTCTCAGATTTTTTTACCCGACCCAAAAAAAGTTACGAATTTTTGAAAAAAACCGCTCTTTTTTTTTTAAATTGCAATAACTTTTTCACAAATTGACCTTTCGGCACGTTTTTTTTTTGAAATTTTTGTTTTTAGATGTAGTTTTCAGAAAAAAATACAAACAATTTTTCGGAAGTCACGATATATGAAATATTTCAGTTTTTTCAATAAAACCGTCATTTTTTCGAATTCTGAAACCTTCGATTCTCAATTTTTTTGTCTCAAAAAAAACTTCAACTAAGACAGTATTTAACCCCACTATTTTGTGCCGACTTTCCATTCTATTGTTTTTTTTTCGATTGAAAATAAAGAAATTTCTCAATTTGGCTTATTTTTTATGACTTTGCGTTGAGGTTTTTTTTTATTGTTTTTAAAAGCTCAGAACTTGAATAAAATTGGATAAAAACAACCGTAAATTTTTTATTAAAGTATTGTTTTTACATCGTTAAAAATCTAAATATTTTAATTATTTTCCTCGGTTTAGCGATTGTTTTCTTGAATTCTTAACCGTACAATGTTGTGTCTTAAGGAATGAACTTATGTTAAAGCATTGAGTAAAGTGTGTTCTTTACTCAATGGTTAAAGAATGAAGGTTATGGTAATAAAAAAACATAAAGAAAGTACGAAAGGTTATGGTGGATGTTCAGTGACTGATGGTAATGAACTTGTGTTAAAGAATGAATTTGTGTTATTAAATTTTGTTTCTTAAAAGGAGTTTACGTTTACGTACATTGTACGGTTAAGAATTCAAGAAAACAATCGCTAAACCGAGGAAAATAATTAAAATATTTAGATTTTTAACGATGTAAAAACAATACTTTAATAAAAAATTTACGGTTGTTTTTATCCAATTTTATTCAACTTCTGAGCTTTTAAAAACAATAAAAAAAACCTCAACGCAAAGTCATAAAAAATAAGCCAAATTGAGAAATTTCTTTATTTTCAATCGAAAAAAAAAAACAATAGAATGGAAAGTCGGCACAAAATGGTGACTTCCGAAAAATTGTTTGTATTTTTTTCTGAAAACTACATTTAAAAAAAAAAAATTCAAAAAAAAAACGTGCCGAAAGGTCAATTTGTGAAAAAGTTATTGCAATTTAAAAAAAGAGCGGTTTTTTTCAAAAATTCGTAACTTTTTTTGGCCCAAAAATTTTGGGTCGGGTAAAAAAATCTGAAAAAATTCAGAAAAATGTCTTTGGTAGGATAGAAAATGATAAAAAAGTTTCAGCGAAATCGAAGGGGGTCGGGTCAAAACCTCGGTGATTTGGCATGGATTGCCCCATATATATATATATATGGGTCATTTTCAAGAAATACCCGCTTTCAGGAAAATGAAGATCAAAATTTTTTTGCTTAAATTGACTTTTGGTTGGATTTATATAAATGTTTAGAGTTTTGTTTACTTACATTTAAGACAGGCAGTGCACTTTTTAATTTTTTTACGTTTTTTTCAAAAAATCCACTGTGTTACCAATTTGAAATCCAAAATTTAATTCAATAAAAAAAGTTGTTATAAAAATAATTTGAAATAAAATGTACTTAGTTCACAAACTTTAATTTTTTATTTTATTTTTTATTAAAAATTGTATGCTTTTTTTTAAATATGTATGTTCGTTAAGTTACTTTTTAAAATAAACCATTCCGATTCTTTATTAAAAAAACAATACCATTAATATTTTCTTTTAGTCACAGTATTAATGAGTTAAACTCTAATTTATAAACACGTATTACCAAGTGATAGTGTATAAAAATCAAATCAAGTATTTTTTAACAAATACTAAAGAAAGTAACGATATAGACATTGGTACCACAACGGACTGGGGTACACAAAGGACTTAAATAGATAACGTAAAAAAAACTATATAGGGTGGTACGATTTTAGAGTAATGCATAAACAAAATCCCTTGTAGTGGTGCTCACTTGCAGAATAACAACTTAGTTTTCTAAAAGCTGGTGAAGGTCCCTAGGGAGTATACTTGTATATTGCGTGAAATTTTCCCTTGGATGTAATCTATATCATGAGTTGTAATCACAAATAATTTTAAATTGGTTTATCATAAACTACTTTTAATAAAAGCGACGGTAAATATCCACTTTGTTGTCGAAAAATTCTATTGCGTTACCCTAAATTCCATTGCGTTACCATAAGGTAACATAGTGGAAAAAATTTTGTGAAACCATATTTAAAAAATAATAATAAGACATTACAGTCATTAGTTACTCTCAATGAGCTTTAGTGCCCTAAAATAAATATAAACATGAAAAATAGTATTTTTTCTTACCTTATTTTTATTATTTTTTTGAGTAACTTAGCGGACAAACAATTATTACATTCGCATTACCCGCACCTGTTTCAACCGATATCTTTTTCCTGATTGAATAAATAAATTCAGCTGGGTAATGTGTACGTCCGAACATCATTTGTTGATCACGTGAGTGCCAAAAAAGTTGCCATACCTATATATGTTTTTTTAATATTCTATCGGTAACGCGACGGAAAAAATGTCTGGGACATGAGTCTAATTTAAAAAAAGTAGATTAAAATTAATTATTTTATATATAAATTGTTTACTGTATTAACTAAGGATGTTATGGATTGCTATATAGCTATAAAGCAACACAAAGTTCTGGTTATTCAATGTTTAAAAAAAACATGTATGTAAGATTTATAAAACGCTAATGAGACATGCGAAAATGTGTGTTTCACAAGTTTCAAAATTAAAAAAAAGATTTTACTAAGGGCTTGTTAGGCTTTCACTTGGTTTTTAAATCAATAAGATCCGATAATTTTTAACAAAGTTATTGGAATTCAAACTTACGGACAGCGGAAGGCAGGTGTTTTTTGAAACGACCCATATATTATAAATTATATAGGCTTTACTTCTTTTTAATTATGTGGGTCCCCTTAAGTAGCCTTGCCGGAACGCACCCTTAACAATTTTAAATCTGGGGATTTTCGTTTGCCACGGTTGGCAATTCGCGTCCTCGCGCAGAGACCGATTTTTGTTGTTTTGCGCATGCAATCGTAATTGACAAAACTCACGGTGTCGCCATTATAACGATGATTTAAATTTTTCCATTGTATATGAACGATTTTACGCCGTAATTGAGTTGTGACTGTTTAGTGAAAATGGACGAACAAATGGATTTTAGTAATGACATTGATGGAAACGTGCAAGAGGATTTCGAGGAGGATATAGGCTTCGAAAATGATATTGACATAGGGGACGATTTTCCGGCAAGGAGAGGACGAGGTGGATTTAGGTAAATACAGGGTTTACAGGCAGTATATTTCGTTGAAACTGTGATTATTTTATAATATTGACAGTGTAATGTTTTAGTTTGCTTAAGGCTAAAACATAACCAGCTTTTTTAGATCCTAGGTAACAGATAATCAATTTATAAATATTCAAAACTTTACGGTAACAAGTCTACTACTAAGTTAATACTACTTAATCAATAATTATTGTGTAAACAGCTTAACAACTTAACGAATCCTGGCTATATGAAATTGATTTTGAGATTATAGGTTAAAATGATCTCCATTTGTATAAAATAAGTTTGTATAGAACTAAGAATGTATAGAAGGGTGGAAATTTTCTGGAAAACCGTGAAATGTCAAGAAAATATTCCCAGAGTCAATTTAATACAAAACATTTTGCCAGATGTAACGATATCACATAATAATAATAGGGTTGCTAGACCTTCTATATTTAATGAAGATATCGTATCTTCTATGTTTCTAAAAAATAAAAGCAACATCCTATATTTCAGCGTTTCAGAATAAGATGTAGTATTTTATAGTTTTAGGAAAAATATAGTTGCAATGTCGAGTTTATATTAATGTATTTGAGGGGTCTACTTTTAAAACGTACAATCTCCATTTGGGTTAGACCACTTTAAATTAAACACAATAATAGAAAAAGTTTACAACACTCTTGAATTTTATTATATTTTGTGTATGATTTATAAGCTATGCCTATAGGATAAGCACAAATCTCACATTTGAAGGTCTTATAATTAATTATAGAAGAATTAAATTAAAGGGGTAACTTTTTAAGCTTTTTACAGTAATGTAATCAGAATTTTTGTATGAGCATTGCATTTGCCAAAAAATATCAAGAACATATGTCACAAATGATGGGTGACAGAAGTCAAAAAGGCTATAACATATGAAGGAATAAGAAGCAAAAGGGTACAAGTGCATTTTAGCATAAAAATAATTTAAGTGCAGAATGTCATAACGTGAAAATTGTACGAGTCGATTAATGCAAACATTGAAACAAATATCTAGAATTTTGTTTATACACTACAGAAGTATCGCTAGTAGCGCCACCACTCGGCTATTATCATTGTAACAAAAGTAGAACTTTTAATAATCAGCTGTCAAACGCTTAGGTTACAAAAAATATAAAAAAAAAACCGTGGATCGATTTGTTGTGTTGTTGGGTGTATTTCGAGAGGAAATCCTGGGTTGAGTTTTTACTGGTTTTCCAATAAACAGTGTTAATCTGAATGAAGAAATAAATTGCATATTTTTTTCTAAATATAAATTGTACCTATTAGATACAATAACGTGAAAAGTGTAAACATTTCAATTCAGTAGAAATCGTCAAATAAGTCCTCTAAATTTAAACAGCATTTAGCATTATTAAAAGCGTTGATTAAGAAAGTCTCCACTCAACATTAAAATACCATTATATTATGTATTATATACAATATTATGTGGCCATGAATTCGTAGGTATATTTTGTTGTTTAAAATTCAGTTGTCGGCGTTTTTTAGAGAACTCAAATATAAAAATGGTTGATTTTAAGTAGGGATGCACCGGATCGGGTATTTTGCCGATCCGGCCGGAACCGGAATTTCGGCCGCTGGCCGGACCGGATCGCCGGAATTCCGGCCGGATCGGGACCTAAATTTAAAATGTATGTGCATGCCTATTTTTATACGTAAAACATTGAAAATATTGAGGCTGATTTATTTTTACTTTTTTTTAAACTAGCTACAGTATGCAGAGTATTTATTACTATTAATTTTACCTAGATAGAAATTACTGTTTATTTAAATATTAAATTTTAATTAGCGTTAACAAAATTAAAACAATTCTACTCGTTCAATTGGCAGCCACCTACCAATAGTAAAAAAATTAAAAAGAAGTCGGGGAACCACAGCCGCCGGTCTATCATAGGCAAGAAAACACGCACACCCTTTACTGTTGACCAATTACAAAAAGCGATTTGTAGCGAGTAACTAGGTCTTACCAGGTATGATCGGTTATCTGACCATTTCATTTCTGCGAGGAAGCGGTATGGTAGGGGAGGGCGTAATGACGTCATAAATTTTCGTCATTTCCGTTACCGATCGTAACCCTGTTCAAGACGTGAGTTAGAGTTGGTTACGAAAGAAGAGGTTATGTTTATTGTTGTTGTGTATATTTCAATTTTTAAAAATGGATAAGGAATTTATAGAAATAACCTTAAATTATGAAGGGGAGGATTACAAAGCAATTTGTGATATGCAAACTGCTAATTTCAATTTCATGATAGGTTTCTAGCCAACAAGTGTCCGGCATAGGCATTCTAAAGTGAATTTCTCTTTTAAGAATATTGCAAATTATTTTAGTCTTGTTTTCATTTAGAAGTAACAAGTTAAACATAAAATCACTAAAAAATAATTCATCTCCGTTAAATAACAACAAACATAACTTATCCATTATTTTGTTAGGTTATGTCGACATAATAGTTATTTATGTATTAAGGGCATAATAAGGTTTTTATGGTCCGAGGCGCTATTTCGAGCCCGAGCGCGTTAACGCGAGGGCTAGAAAAGCGTCGTAGGACCATAAAAACCAGTTATGCCAGCAATGCATACAAAACTTTATGCACGATTAATATATTATTATTTTTAATATATTATTGTTTTTAAAGACGTTTACGTCAAAGAATTTTTGTTATAATTGTCATATTATAATGTCAACTGACATCAGTCAGTTTTAAAGTTTAAAAATGAATTAAATTGAGGAAGCAGCTGAAAAGGCGAAAAATTGCGGCCTGCTGCCGGAAAAATTAAAATCTTTATACGAAAAAACTTACTTCGAATATATCAAATGGTGTAACATTGTTGTTTTTAATTTTTGACGTTTCATTATAGCCCGCTGGGTCATAATAACGCCCGCGGGCTATAAAAAGACGTTTACGTCAAAGAATTTTTGTTATAATTGTCATATTATAATGTCATCGTGCATAAACAAATATTTGAACCACAGAATACCAACCGCGTTTTAGCGAAACTTAACCGCTACGTCATTCAGCGGATGACGACACAATTTTTAAGTGGGGGACATACCAACCGTAACCAGCAAGGTTAGTCGCTACAAATCGCTTAAAATATATCTGGTCGAAAGTCGGGGCATCCCAGACGCGAAAGTCGGGGAATCACAGACGCGAAAGTCGGAAAATCCCAGACGCCTGCTAATCATAAGCAAAGGCACAGGGCTGCAGGCATGATACTAAATAAGACTGGTAATGTAACGCGCCGTATTAAGCGGCTGAAAAGTGGATCTAAACTTGGGTCACTGTTCGACAGAGAGGTCGAGAGAGAGACAACGCGATAAAGGGCTATGCGAATCGTTCGGTTATATATATGCGAAATTAAGAAGACGCCGGTAATTTTTATTAATTTATTAAGTGTCCGAGACTATTTTATTATTACAATGGTTAAGACTTGTTTTGTGCCTACGTCTAATGGTGGGTAAAAAAGTTGTTTAGAGAAAGTGTCTCTATTTAAAGTGCCAGAGAATAGATTAATTTTTTGGTAAAAGAAAATACCGATCCGGCCGGAGCGATCCGGCCGGAACGGTAGTACCGCCGGAATTCCGGTGCAACCCTAATTTTAAGGTTATGTTTGTGCAAAAATTATTTTTTACTAATTTCTTAAAAATGTCCAATCTTAAATATAAATTATATTAGGTAAAGTTATCATTAGTTAATTCTGCACCAAGAAATGGATCCTTAGGCAAAACATGAAAATGCAACGATTTAGTTCTTGAATTTTATTTACAATTAAAACACAATAATTCACCATGATCCCTTAGATAAGATACACACACTAACGTAACTATATAAGCATTTAAGCGTTGAGTTTATTAATCAATGATATAAAGATAATCAATCGAAATCAAGTACTAAACCAGTTTTTTACTTTTTTCCTTGCAACGTAATACAAATAACGTGCGCGATTTAGCTGTGCAATTGAACAAAATTTGTCGAGTAAGACTTCTGCCTTCCTCTCTTTTGTGAAAAAATTACCTATTTATATAAAAATGATGTACAGTTCGTATGCTTTAAATGTATTGTTGACATTTCTTAAATTCACGCAATGCTTTTAAAGTCCATCAGATGGCGCGCGCGTTGCGAAAACCCGATACTTTTTTAGCGTATAGCAAAAACTTTAGTTACTAACTCCACTTCTCGTTTTTGCACTTGTACCCTTTTGCTTCTTACCCCTTCATATATAAAATGACCTAAACCCAACTCAATATGCACTTGAGGAAAATTTCCTTGTGTTTTATACAGAAACATTTTTTATAAAAAGTTCATGTTTTAGGTTTTGTTTTTTGGTATTGAATTTAAAATGTGTTTAGCATATTTATTTTTTAAATTAGCAATAATTATGCCTAATGCAAATTTAGTAATAAATAACTTATTTAAATCTTTCATACATTTATAAACTTTTAAATTTTTAAGTGAATTCTATTCTATTAATGGCATATTGATTTTTGGGGATTTAGTTAAATAATATAATTAATTATTAGTTAAATATTAAAAAGTATAGGTAAAGTAAATTTTTAAAAATCACTGGAGAACCTAGAAAGTTTGGTTTAAAAACTAAAACTTCTATTAAAAGTTATATATTAGACTGGGCCAAAAAAATCAACCTTTTTTTTTTATTCAAGGTTAAAGTTGAAGTCAAAACGAAATTCTTGTCTAAATAACTTTTGATGGAGTGAATTTAGCCAAAAATGTTAAGAGGCTTTTTTTGTAAAGCATTTGATTTCACATAAGAATATTTATCGTTTTTTTACTGATTTTTACATGAATTTTAAAATTCCAAAGTTAAAAGATCAAAATGTAAAACTATACCAATGTTTAGGGCATGATTTTAAGGAAACGGTTCATCTGACGAAAAATTTCATTTATCCTTTTTTGTACAGCATTTAATTTTCTTAAAAAAATATTTTTAACTAAATTTTGTTAAACTCAATGGTTTGGGAGTTGGGAGACAAAAACTTGATGAGGGAAAAAAATTAAAATTGCGATGATAGACCTCTTAATATTAATATTATGGACTCAAACTTTCACAATAATTTTTTTTGTCGCCCCAAACCATATTTTCGATATGGTTTTCAAAAAAAATAGTTGATTTTTTTGGCCCAGTCTATTATATATATCATATATATCATTTATTTACAATGCCTTATCTAATGTATGTTTTTTACTTGGTAATTCAGATTACTTATAGCTCAGGGGCGGATTTAGAGTTTTTGTTTCTTGGGTGATGCCAGGACTTTTAATTTTTTTATATGAATATTCTACTCGATTTCTGGAGACATTTTTATAATATTGTTTTGCCTAAACAAAAATACTTTGAAAAATTAAAAATGACTTGAAATTGAATCACAAATTGAAAAAACAAATTTTAGGGGCAGAGGCGGACCGAATCGTAATTGGCCTGGGCCCGGCGGGCCCCGAGGAGACGGCCCGAGATTTCGCGGTAGAGGATTTCCCCCCGGAGGCCCCCCACCGTTCAGAGGTCGAGGAGGTGGACCCCCACCGATGTTTGGCCGCGGGGGACCTCGCAATGCGCCTCCCGGAGGAGGATTCAGCGGTGCTCCCCCCGGATTCAACCCGAATTGGGGGGGTCCCCCCGGCGGCCCGCCGAACATGATGGACAACGGGTTCAACGGGGGGCCACCTTTCAACGGTCCCCCCGGAATGATGAACAACGGACCGCCGCATAATAACGCCAATAACGCGCAGCAGGGGGGATTCCCCCCCGCCGCTACGGTGAATATTAAAGCTATAGACCAGGGTCGATAATTTTTGAAACCAAAAAAAATAACAGTAGGATGAAACCCATTGGAAAAGGAGAAGAATGTAATAAAAATGAAAGGAAAAATAAATTACGGGCGATCTGACTTCGGGAAGTGGGAGGGGGGGGGTTTAAGGGTAAAAAATGGTTTATCTCGATTTCCGGCAAAACTACAAGTCCTATGGAAAAAAGTTAAATGGCAAAGTTGTAGGTAATAAAACTTTTGTAATTACAATTTTTTTACATAACCTCACAATTTATGTGAAAAATTCAAAAAACCAAGTTTTTGGTTTTTTATTTTTATCTTTTTCAAAAAAAAAATTTTTTCCACGAAATTTGGTGAAAACTTACCTTTTTATGTCCCAAATACACTGTAATTTATTTGATTTGAAATATTTATTATTTCGCCTTATTTTGACTTAATGTCAAAAAAGCACCCTAATTTTCAATCGAAAATTCTCGCGTCAAAATATCAGCTTTTTTCAAAAAGTCGATGTGCTTTTTGTTCGTTGAAATCTCTACTTTCTGATGGTGTAAAAAAAATATACATTACTATGCACGGTGCTCGGGAAGCAGCTTTAAATGAAAAGATAAGTTTCATGTTTTTTTTTTGTTTTTATGTATTTATTGCAACAATAGAAGTAATTTTTTGGTATTTTTAGGATCGCTTAACATGGCCGTTTTTAAGAAAATATTGAATTTATAAAAATAAATTGGATTTTTCGAAACATCAATTTATATTGTAATAAACTATCGTAAAAGCAATATGAAAGTGTATACTTACGTTTTTTAACAACTAAAGTAGCAAACACATTTTAAACTTACATACATATATACAGTGTGGCCCACTTAAGATGGAAACACCCCGTAACTTTTTTATTTGTAACCCGATTTTATTGAACAAAGGCTCAAAAGATAGAGAATAAAAAACTCTATTAGAGCTGTTAAAGTTGTTTTCAAAGTCACCCGACACATGCCTACTATAATTTTTTTTCTGTGTCAAAATTTAAAAAAACATTTAGGGTAATTTTAACGAAAAAAATAAGTACGCCACTGAATTTGGCATGCTTAAAAATGGGTAAATACCAAATTTCATTAAAAACAATCGATTGATAATTATTTTACAACGGTTTATTTATTTTGGCATTATAGTAGGCATGTGTCGGGTGACTTTGAAAACAACTTTAACAGCTCTAATAGAGTTTTTTATTCTCTATCTTTTGAGCCTTTGTTCAATAAAATCGGGTTACAAATAAAAAAGTTACGGGGGTGTTTCCATCTTAAGTGGGTCACACTGTATATATGTATGTAAGTTTAAAATCTGTTTGATACTTTAGTTGTTAAAAAACGTACGTATACACTTTCATATTGCTTTTACGATAGTTTATTACAATATAAATTGATGTTTCGAAAAATCCAAATTTTTTTTATAAATTCAATATTTTTTTAAAAACGGCCATGTTAAGCGATCCTAAAAATACCAAAAAATTACTTCTATTGTTGCAATAAATACATAAAAACAAAAAAAAAACATGAAACTTATCTTTTCATTTAAAGCTGCTTCCCGAGCACCGTGTATGGTAAATGTTCTCAGAAAATGCAAAAAATATTATAATGAATAACGAAAAAAACTCGAATTCGAAAATTTATTTTAATCATTATGTACAATTTCATCAAAAAAATGGGATTGTTGCAATTTTTTTTAGTTAAAAAGTTTGTTTATTAAATTCTAATAACATTTATGTCAGAAAATCTCATAAAATATAAAAATACATGTAAATCATACTATTGAATTTGTATTGTATTTTCTGAGAACATTTACCATAGTAATGTATATATTTTTTTACACCATCAGAAAGTAGAGAGTTCATCGAACAAAAAGCGCACCGACTTTTTGAAAAAAGCTGATATTTTGACGCGAGAATTTTCGATTGAAAATTAGGGTGCTTTTTTGATATTAAGTCAAAATAAGGCGAAATAATAAATATTTCAAATCAAATAAATTACAGTGTATTTGTGACATAAAAAGGTAAGTTTTCACCAAATTTCGTGAAAAAAAATTTTTTTTGAAAAAGATAAAAATAAAAAACCAAAAACTTGGTTTTTTGAATTTTTCACATAAATTTTGAGGTTATGTGAAAAAATTGTAAATACAAAAGTTGTAGATCTTTTTATTACCTACAACTTTGACATTTAACTTTTTTCCATAGGACTTGTAGTTTTGCCGGAAATCGAGATAAACCATTTTTACCCTTAAAACCCCCCCCTCCCACTTCCCGAACTCAGATCGCCCGTAATTTATTTTTCCTTTAATTTTTATTATATTCCCCTCCTTTTCCAATGGGTTTCATCCTACTGTTATTTTTTTTCTCTTTTTACCATTTTTAAAGGCTTCTGCACTGGTCTTCTATTAAAAAGCTGCGTTTGTTATTGAATTTTTTTTTTAGAATATGGACGAAATTTGGGTGGAGACAAAGTCTGGAGAGGGTAAATCTTACTATTACAACGCCCGTACGAGAGAAACAACATGGACCAAACCGGAAGGAGCAAACATAAAAGTTATTTCGCAAGATCAAGTCGAGGCTATGGCGCAAGCGGCCACAGTTACTATTCCACAGAACACATCCACTGCTGCTCAAGCAGCTTTGGCTCAAGCTAATGTAACAAATAAACAGGAAGGTAAATATCACAAATTTCTAATGGGTTATTTAATTTATTAGAGCAATATTTTTTGGAATCAAATTTTTTGCAATGGGGTAGTTAAATTTTTTCTGACCTATACTTTTTTTTGTTTTATTCATGGCGTTTTGTTATATTAAACATTTCTGTGAAATCAGAATTTCAATTGAGTTTACCGTTTTCGAGATATTTACAAAAAATATAAATTTTTATGACGTCACAAACCGCGCCATGTGACCAACATTCTAAGATTTCTATTGGTTGAAAATTACCCTGTTGTCAAGTTGTCTTGTTAATGATTTCATTCGGTTATGTCAGAAAATACCCGAAGAGGTTATGTACAAATACTGTCACTGTCAGTTGAGTGAAAGATGGTCACCAAATTTATTAAGTACCTATCTTCCTTATTACGAGGTATCATATTTCTGTTTGATATTTTAGAGTCCAAGAAATATCTAAAAGAATATAAAGAACTAGGCATTATACTAATGTAATGCATTTACGACAACATATGATTATAATTATAGGTACTTACTTTATTTGTTTAAAAGCTCCAATGTTCAATGTAACCAACCATTCCACAAGATTCCTCTGCTTTGGAGTCCGTTATTAATAAATCACTTATCTAATATTAATTACAAATAACATAACAATAACATTGATTTTCAATAATCTAAATTAAAAAAAACGTAACCCGAAAAAAAGAAACGTCAAAAAATCAATTCTTCTTCTTCTTCTTCTCAACTATAATTATAGATCAAGTGGTTTTAAAACTAAAATATTATAACGTGGCGCCATCTATCGTAAGAATATTAAACTAAACACACTGGCAACCATAGAAAAAGCTGGCAACGTTGTCAATAGCCTAGTGACGTAATTAGGAGATTTTTTTTGTAAATATCTCAAAAACGGTAAACTCAATTGAAATTCCGATTTCACAGAAATGTTTAAAATTACAAAACGCCTTGAATAAAACCATAAAAAGTATATGTCAGAAAAAATTTAACTACCCCATTAAATTTAGAAATATTTAAGTCAATTTCATAATTAATAATCTTAATTAAGAATGTCAAAATTACATTTTAAAAGTCAAGAAACATTTTAAAAGGTGATAAATTTATTTTAAGAATCCTAAAAACGTATTTAGGAATATCAAAACACAATTGTGAATGTCAAACATTTAAAAATCTAAGAAAATACCTTTAAAATGGCATTTTTTATATTAAAAAAAAAAGTTTCTTTATGGTACAGGAGGTATCATTCATCATCAAATGTTGTTGATATATCACAAAAAAAAATACAATTTTACTACAAATTTATTAGTTAGAATGGACAACAACTAATATTGCAGATTACCTATTTTCTAAAAACTTATACCAAAAGTTAAATTAAACCTATATTATGGTTAAATTAACTACTCTGTTTAAAATTAACTGTGCCCAACTTGGATTATTTTAAGAGTTTTAATGGTTAAATTATACTAAAAAATAACTTTTGAATTTACCTTAAGGTTGTTAAAGTTAAAAGGTTATTTTTCAGTTCATAATTACCTTTAAAAAATGTCAATAGTTGAATCAACTAATTGGTTAAAAACAAGATTAAAAAAATGTTATTTTACTTACACCTGGGTTAATTTACTTAGAATACTAGTTATTTAACCAATTGGGCTACTTGGGAAAACAAATTAAGAATTGTTTTTGGATTTTTAAGGCCCTAAGTAAATGATACATTATGGGAACAGACCTGTAATATTTCACAGGCTTGTATAAAAGACCTGTAAAGTTTTACAGGCTTGTAGATAAAGCAATTTATGAAATGAAATGACACATTTGACTAGAGATGGGAAAATTTCCATTTGATGAAAATTCCCGGAAACTTTCCATCGAAAATTCCCGAAGTTTCAAAAAAAAATTTTTTATTGCGAAAATATTTTTTTTTTGCGAGGGATTTGCAAAAATATATAACACATTAACTTTTTGTCAAATTTTATTAAGAAAAAAAATAAAAAAAAATGTTTATAAGAATGTAACTGCAATACTATTTTTAGTATCTTTTAGTTTGAAATATTCCTATTGTATACTGAAACCTACAAAATAAAAATAAAATGTTTACTATTAGAAATTCACTGCTAGTAAATCCTAGATATTACGTAAAAAAAATTAAAAGGGACAAAGTAACTAATATACCTATAGGAATATTGAAAAGTAAAGTAAAAAATAATTCCAAACATTTGTTTATTGTTTTTATTTTGTTTACCTTTTTTTAAAAAAGTTTTTTGTGATGATGCTGAATAATCCGGCTTCATTGAGGTTATGTAACATAACTTACATTATTTATACTTCTTCTTTTGATTTAAATTAACACACATTAAATTCTTATTCAAAGTTTCTTGGCCTTGTATCATGGCCTTAACGAAAATCAGCGGTTAAACAATTGACATTTAAATGAAAAAAACAAGGAAAGTTTCCAAGGAATGTTTCCGATAGCTTAAAAGAAACTTTCAAAATGAAAATAAATCCCCAATTGGAAACTCTTCAAAACGGAAAGTTTCCTTAAAATGGAAACTTTCCGATTCCCATCTCTACATTTGACACATTAATTGAAATTTTAAAATTTAAAAATCCTTATCTAAAGGTGAAAATAAAAGTTTGTACGTGTCATGCTTTGCAATTAATCTTTACTAGGCTCACAAACTTTCACTGTTAGTTAGGCGCACCCAATTCGGCTCCCACAATTAGGTGCGATTTTGATTTTGATGCCATGCTAATTTTTGTATTAATCAGTATTTTTTTTAACATTTCCTATGCAAGATATACTTTGTTTGGACGTTAGGGAATACCATTGCAAAATATGATGACTTAATGTAGAGATTAATATTACTTTTATCAAAGAAGAAAATATTTTTCAATAGACAAAATTAACAAGAGACATATCTGTCAGTAAATATTTAACTAAGTCTTTATTTACTACATTCAATAGAATAAGAAGCTAGAGTAAAAATCGCTAATGAGTTTTGCACAACTGTTACAACTTTTTATAGTTTTCTTGTCCCTTTTTTTTGACAAAAATAGCAGTTGAGTAATAAGTACAGTTCATTTTTTTTATTTGGACTCGTGTTTTTTTATTAAGCTGGTAGCTTATGCCACTTTGATTTTGTATTTTTAGTATTTAAAAAATTGTACTCCTGCTGAAGACCTTAATTAAATAAACTGACACTGTCATATTTACAGTAATATTTTTTATTGAAAATTCCACACCTGTAATTTTTAACCAATCAAAACGTCTATTTTTCATAGATCACCATGGCAACGGTTGAATTTAAGTGGAAATTTTTTCCTCGTGGGTACCCAACAGCGAATTATACTGGAAATTTTTTGACGTTTATAATGACAGAATATTTTTTTGACAATCTGGTTTTTATTTGTTTACATGATAATTTTGATACATTTCCATTACAAAGTTTAGATGTTTTCTATATTCGTTGGACACCTCCTTTCTTCTTAATGGCGAAATTGCAGGACTTGAAATAAATTAAATGTCTATGTCTAATGAAATATATATAATATTTAGACACTATTCTATTCACCTTTTTTTCCATTTAGCACTTTGAGTTTTGAATAGTTAAGATGCAAATATTCGTGAACAATTCAAAACAAATTTTCTTTCTTCAAGTAGGAGCCACAATCCTCTAATAATGCGGGTAAATAAGTCATTGCACGATGATTGATCATTACAGCAGACAATTTCACATTTTTTTTACGTCGTGCCGCTTGACAGCTTCAAAACTGAAATAACTTTTAGGTTGGGGTTGACTTAGTTGCCATGGTAACTAAATAATCAAGTCGAGGTCAAGTTAAATCAAAAAATAAATTTTAATTATTTAAACACAATTTGGTGTGGAATTTTCTTACCGAATACCACACGAGGTCAAATTAAATCCGGGAATTTTTTCTCCCTCATGAATATTTTTAGAAAATTATCCCTCGTCTTTCACTCGGGATAATTTTCAAAATATTCATGAGCTCGAAAAAATTTCCGGAAATAATTTGACCTCTAGTGGTATTACTAGTGATAATTTACGTTCACTACCGCCGTGTTACAGCTGGTCGCTTATAATAAACCGACTTCGACATCTTTTGAACCCACAAACTGGCGTAGGAAATAAACCTGAGTCACTGTAAATAAAGCCACAAAAGTGAACCAGAGGCCACTTAACTGGCCGTGCTCGCGTTATAGACCGAAGACAACATACAAGTCACCACTTGTGACCCAGCTAAATTTATATTGCACCTATAGGGAAGATTAAGTAAGATTAAATTTGAGGCCAGTATAGTGGCCACTATAGTGGTCGCCGGTAGTGAACGTGTTAATTATTATATAATATCGATAGTTTGGGTTGGTTTGTTATGGCACAATGCAGTGTACCTGCATAACCAAGATGACAGCTATTCGTCATAACCTGCATGACAGCGGTCGAGATTTTATTTTCGATAAATTGAAAATTCGATTAAATAAAATTTCGATATTATCATTTTCGACATTTTGAATTTTCGATATTTTGATTTTCGACATTTTGTATTTTCGATAAAAAGTGTTCGATATTTTGAATTCGATATAATGAATTTCGATATTGTGAATGTCACCCATATTTTTTTAGAATTTTCAAAACTTCGAGACAGATGCGCCACCTCAAGATATTAAAAAATTGGAATATTTTTTCGATATTTATTCATTTTACGCCTTTAGTCAACAATTAATAATATAGGAAAAATCAATTAATAAATAAAAAAAATTCACTCCACGTTGTTTAGGAATGTCAAACGTTAAATTTGTCTTTTCTATTTGAAACAAGAAATGAAGCGGACATTTTTCCGATTTTCAGAGCACGACGACGGCAAGCTGGACCCGAAAAAGGCGATGCAGAACGCGCAAATGCAACAACCGCCGAACATGATGTCGGGCCCGCCGCCGGGCATGCCGCCGTTCGGCGGCCCGCCCGGCCAGTTCGGAGGCCCGCCCTTCGGGATGCCTCCGCCCGGCTTCCAGGCCGGCTTCCAGCAGCCGCCGGGCTGGCCGGGCGCCCCGCCCGGCTCGGCGCCGTGGGGCGTGCCGCCGCAGCAGCTGCTGCCGCCCGCCGCCGGCCTCGCGGGCGGCGCGCTGCAGGCCATCGACGAGGCGGCCGTCATGTCGAAGGTCGACCCGGACATCCTGGCGCGGGCGTCCGAGTGGACGGAGCACAAGGCGCCGGACGGTAGGTTTTACTATTACAACGCCAAGAAGGGCGAGTCCGTGTGGGAGAAGCCGCAGCCTTTGAAGGATCTTGAAGGTGAGTTTTTTCCTCTTTTTTCCTCTTTTAACATTTAATTTTCAATCAATGATCATATACAGTGTGTGTTAAAACGAATAGATACACTTAAATAAAACAAGTGCCAAACCCCGCCCCACTGTCGTATGATCTGTGCGTCAGTTTAAGAAGTGCACTGAGACTTTGCGTACGTCTTTCAAAGACGGTCTTTGTAAGAATAAAAAAGTATTTTCTCAAATAAAATGGTTTTTACCCGTGAGGAAAAATACCAAATTATGGTATGGCATCACACTTAGGGTTGGGAAAAATTTCACTTTTTGCTTGTACTTGAAATTTCACTTGAAATTTTCATGACATTTATGAAATTTATTAAAATTTCCTAAATTTCTGAAATTTCATGAAATTTATGAACTTTATTGAAACTTTCAATAAAATTCAATCACTTTAAGTGTAATATATTAATATTGAAATAAGCCCACTCGGGGACCATGACAAATTGCCTCTCTTACCTCCTACCCCTCTGTGGGCCCCTGCACCAATAATATAAATTGTAAATACCTATGTTTACCACCAATTTCTTGAGTTTTCCTTCTAAAATATTTTTAAAATTACTAAAACTAAAAGAGATATAGCACTTTTTGGTAAGCTAATGAGATTGTGCCACTTTCATTGTTTTATATTTATATATAATTATTATTTTTATATATTTTACTGAAATTTTACGAAAATTGAAGAAACTTCATCAAAATTGTATGAGCCAAAGGCATTTTTTATCCGTTTTCCGATGCAATTATAGCAAAAGTAAAAGTTTAAATTAATCATGACTTTAAAAAAAAAATTAAAGTCAGATTTAATTTACAAATTAAATTGGTAACTGAATTAAATTAATTTATGCATATAAGTAACAATAATTACTTATAGTGTATTCAAATCCAAGCCGAACTAAACAAAAACGCCCAGACGCTTCATAACTCGTTCTTATTGGTCGATTCAGAATCTGTTGTAAATTATTATTAAAGGTCCCAGGGGAGACCGTATGTGAAATTTATGCGAAATTTTCAGTAAATTGCGAAACTTTCAATGAAACGTCTGAAACTTTCACAGGCAATGTTGAAATTTTCGAATTGAAATTCTTCAAAATTTCACTTTTCCAACTAAATGAAATATTTCAAGTTTGAAACTTTCAAAGTTGAAATTTTTATTTGAAAATGTCCCAACCCTAATTGCAAAGAAACAAATTTGAATATCAAAACATTTTTATTACAAAAAATGTTTACAAAAAAAGATTTTTGTAGTTATTGCAATTTTTGCAAATTTAAAATTGGGCTCCCAATTTCGGACACCCTATCCGAAATAAAAAAAAACTTTTTTTAGTAACAACATATTTATTAGTCCATTCATAAGTCACATACGAGGTGTGTTCAGAAAATAACGGGAATTGTTAAATTTCGCGGGTTCTGAGGGTCCGGTTATCATACAATTTTCTTTATTATGTTGGTATACATGCCCCCGAAGTATGATAAAAACTTTAGCTATTTTCATTGTTTACTTTGTCTGTGGCAGCCGCTAAGGTTAGACATGTTTTATGAGCTCGGCGATTTTCGTTCGTTAAAAGAAATGGATCAAAGAATTTGTATCCAATTTTGCTTAAAAAATGAAATAAATTCTGTGAAATGTTAAGAAAGGCCTATTGAGTCTGCTATAAGTAAACCAAGAGTTTACAAGTGGTATAAGAGTTTCCAAGATGGCCGTGAAGACGTTGAAGATGACGAACACCCCGAACGAACAAGCACATTAACAACCGATAAAAACATGGAAAAAGTGGAAGAAATTGTTATAAACCATCAGAGAAGACGCTGATGTTGGTATATCGATTGGCTCATCCCATGAAATTTTTTCGAATGTTTTGGGTATGAAACGCGTGGCAGCAAAATTTGTTCCAAAATTGTTAAATTTTGAACAAAATTTTTGGCCAAAAACAATACTGTAATGATGCCCCAGCCTCCATATTCGCCAGACATGCCTCTGTCTGACTTTTTCCTATTCCCAAAAATAAAGAGAACCTTAAAGGGCCGTCGTTTTGCAAGCATAGATGACATTAAAATCGCATCGCTGAAAGAACTAAAGGCTATTCCAAAGATCGAGTTTTAGAAGAGTTTCGAGTATTGGAAGAAGAGCTGGCACAATATTTGTTTCAAAAAACGAAATTTCCCGATATTTTCTGAACACACCTTGTATATAAACATTATATTTCTTAGGCGACTCTAAATGTTGGAATTTGTTTAGTTCATAATTGTGGATTCCTAATTTCGGATAGGAGAAATTGAGAAACGTGAACCATCCGAAATTAGGCAACTTTATACTTTTTGCGTTAAGTTTTTTAAATAAAATCATTGAAAAAATTTCCTTTTAATGATTTAATTAGTTTCAAAGATACACCACTATCCGAAATTAGGCGCCTACTTGAAATTAGGCGACTTTCCTCTAATAGTTAGGGAACTGGTGGCAGAAATTTTTAAGTCATTTGCTCGCGTGGCAGAAGTTGAAAATAATGAAGTTTGGATTATAAAAGTCACTAATGACAACTTCTGCCACTCCATGATTGCTGCATTATTAATTAGTAGGTAATTAAATATGTAAAAAAATGTCATTTGCTCGGGTCTGGAATGTTTTTAACTTGAGGTCCCTAACAAGACTTTCAGATAAATATCATCGCCAGACGTGTATGTCTCTGCATTAATGAGTATTTAATTTTCTTTTAAATTATGATATATAAAAATTTAAGTGATTAGCTCGTCAATAAAATTTATACTAAATGTTAATTGGCTCATAAAAAAGCAAAAAACGAAAGTCTGCCATTTAATGTAAAAAATTGTAAAAAAAAAAAAATATTAAGTTATTTGCTCGTGTATGGCTCTTGGTTAAATTATTCTGTTGTTTTGCATGAAATTGAAATTACACCACCTACACATTGATTTAAAAAAAAATTAAATTTTTAAAGAAATTGACATAAAGCCTAAATGGCAGACACGAGGAAAATCACCTTGGCTGGGTATTATTTTTTACAATTTTAAAAATTATTTTTTGCAAAAAGCAGAGACATACATGCCTGGCATTATTTTTTTCTTATTTAGGGGACACAAATAAACAATTAAAAAAATAAGATAAAGACGAGAAAATCACTTAATAGAGCATTTGTTTTTTACATATTTAAAATTATTTAAAAAAAACGCAGCGCCCTAGACGTCTGGCAAATTTTATTTTAGTATCAATATGGTCAATTTAATGTAAAACCTAAATAAACCTAAAACCACGAGCAAATGACTTAGGTTGGGTTTTATTTTTTACAATTTTAAAAATTATTTTAAAAAAAGCAGCGATACCTAAGCCTGCCACCTTATTTACTCAGTTCACAAGCATCAAAACTATAATATATCATTCCCAACGACGAGTAAATCATATACCAAAATTGCCACCAGCTCCCTAACTATGGTATCATTTTTAATCGGTTTTTTAATCGGTTTAGGGGTAAAAACAATTTTCCTAAAATATTTGTGCAAAGAATCGATTTTTACAAATTTTCAAAAAAATGCGTTCCGTCCGTAGTCACTTGGTGGAGCATAAAACATATGCTATCGTCGATAAAAAAATATTATTAATCTGTGATCATTGATTGGATTTGATTGGACCCTAAAACAATTTTCCATAATTGTTCGTTAATTGCAGCTGCAAAGCTGGCTGCCGCCCAAGGAATATCCACCAGACCGTCATTGGAAATGCTGGTAATGGGAGATACAGGTAAGCCTCCTAACGCGATGAACGGAGAACCCATCAAGGATTCCGAGAAGGATGGCGAGGACAAAATCAAGAAGCTGCAGGAAGAAATCAAAAAGAAAAAGGAGGAGGAGGAGAAGGCCAAGGAGCTCAAGGTGCAAGACAAGTCGAAACCGATTTCCAGCACCCCGGTTCCAGGAACGCCTTGGTAAGAAGACAATAAAATATTCTTTATTTAGCTAGTCATAACACATACATACAAAATATATACAATGTATGGGTTATTTTCAAAAGTCTTGTACATTTAAAGAAGAAACAAAAACGTAATCTACAAATCTGTTTTTTTTTCTCAAATTTTGTTTATTTAGGGGTGTTATTCAACACCTTAAAGTGGGCAGTGGGATTTTTTTAAATAAGCCCTTAAAAAAGAAAAAAGAAAACAAATGGTCCCCTGGGTCACAAATTTCCTAACATATTAAAAAAACTTATATAAAAATGCTTAATCATTTTGAAAATATTTTTTTGCTTGTTAATAATACTTTCAAGGTTTTATTTACACTAGAATTTGTTTAAAACAAGAACATAAATTAATTATTTATAAAAAAATGTTGAGTACAAAACTAAGTAAAAGCAAAAACTACATATGTTCTATTTCTCAATTTTTTTACATACCTAAGTATTTTTAATACATTTTCTGTATTTAAAAAATATCCATTAAAAATAGTGAGATTAAGAAATTTTCTTTTAATGCGTATTAAAAACGTTTTTTCTCGATTTTTTATCTTGGCCCAGCTTGTCCAATTTAACGAGCAATAAATTAATAAAAAGTTTTAGTTATTAGTAATATTAATAAAATAATAATAAAAAGTCAATATAAACATTGTTTTGTTGAACTACCAACAATTTTTTTCCAGATATATAAAAATAATAGTTTGTTTATTTAAACTTTATTTGCGTTTACTTAAAAATAAGAATATTTGAATTTTTAATATTAGTTTTATAAAAACGTGCAAAAAAGTATAGTAATTGGACATTTTATATAGTAATTGGACACATGGACCATAGTTATTGGACATACAATTTTTATACAACAACTTTACATCAAATAACATAAATTGTTCAATATTTTTTAGTTAAAAGTTAAATTGCTGTTTAGATAATTTTTTTATTTCGTTTTTGTAAATGTCATAAGTCATATATTTCTTTTTTTGATTCCTCATCCCGTTTCTGGATTCTGAAGGTAACTACTTATTCCTTGGTCTGACTTCTGAAATAGTTTGTTGCAAATATCATTAAGTGTGGTATCTCTAGTTTGTGAAGCATTTATAATGTTTAGGCCGGAACAGGATGATTTATATACATTGTTCTCTATCATGCACTGTATTTAAATCACTGTTATTTTGCAAGATGTCCTGTGACAGAAATCACTATATTACTTACTCTCTAAAAATAAATTAGTCAAAAATGTCAAAGCGAAAAAGCAGCCATTAATAATTCTCGTCAACAGCAATTTGTATCCAGGACATTTAGCAGTCAATTCCCATGAAATAATATTCGCTACATCCGAAAATGTCGTCAAAAGTTATAAAAGTAGGACAGTTCTGTGGGTAAAAGGCATAATGGGATAAGTCAAAACTATCAATTTTTTAGTAGGGCCTTAAACGTGTTCGTATTAATTTAGGAAATACATTTATGGTTAGCGGGTATATCCTTTTGCCAGCACATCGTCACCCTAATATAACAAGGTTGTATGTTAAAAAACCGAAAAATTTGAGTTTATACTTCTACAAGGTTTTATGTAATCCACCCTTGACATACAACTTGAAAATAACTCTATATATATGTATACATAGAATATACATTCTATAGAATTATTTTTAAGTGGTATGGGAAGCGTAGGCCACGTATAATCCTGTAGAAACATAGACTTAAATTTTTCGTTTTTTTTAACATACAACCTTGTAATATTAGGGTGACGACATGTCATATGCTAGCAAAAGGGTATGCTCGCTAACCATAAATATATTTCCTGAATTAATGCGAACACGTTTAAGTCTCTACCGGAAAATTGCTTTTTTAGACTTATCCCCTTATGCCTTTTACCCACAGAGTTTTTAAAATATAATCAATTTTCCATATAATAGGGAATTTACCATATCTCAAAAACTGCTCAACTTTTATAGTTTTTGACGGTCTTTTCGGATTCAGGGGACAATTTTACATAATATAAGAATTGGCTGGTAAATGTCCGGGATACAAATAGAGTATGATATTGGACGTATGTCCAATAATACAAATTTGTTTTCAGAATTAAAATTAAAACGCATTAAAGTGACAATGTTTATAATTGTGATAATTTGACTTTAAGGTAACTACATGTTTATAGAACTTTTGTTTTTAGAGTATTAATGCTAATTGTCCAATAACTATAAAGTGTCCGATAACTGTCTACTTTATTTCTCTTAAAATTCTCCAAAAAAAACCGTCAATTCCTAAACAAAATTCGTAATTTAGCGGTGCTAGCCCCGCGATGGGTTTTTAAAACTTAACCGTCAACTATTTCGTCGCCTTTCAGGTGCGTGGTATGGACGGGAGACGGGCGCGTCTTCTTCTACAACCCGACCACGCGCACCTCCGTCTGGGAGAAGCCGGAAGAGCTGCTCAAGCGCACCGACGTCGACAAGATGACGGCCAACCCGCCGGAAGTGTCGGGCAACTCGGCGAAACTCGACGTTGCCAAGAGTCCGCCGAAGCCGAAGCGCGTCTCCGACGACAGCGACAGCGAGGCGGAGATCGAGACGCCCGCGAAGAAGCTGAAAAAAGAGGAGAGCGGTGAGTTGGGTTTAATAGCGGCGCACAGTGGTCGAAAAGCAGCGTTTTGCGGAAAAAATTCAATAACTTTTTTATTACAAATAAATATTAATTTTTTTTAATGTCTTAAATAGAAGTTATTACGTAGTTTTCTTATTTTTAAATGCGTTTTTAGATGTTCACAGAGCGTCAATTTCGGAAATAACTCAATAATTTTTTTGTTAAATAAGGCATATTACGTATAATTAACTATATTTTTATTGAAAAACATAACGGTTTTTATTTTTTAAATGCGTTTTAAATGGTACTAGAGCATTAATTGAGAAAATAATCAAAAAACTTTTTTATTGCAAATAAATATTTATATTTTTTATTTTTTACTGTCTTGAATAAGACTTAATAGGTACCGTAAACACGGGTGGCTTTAGCTCACTTTCAAATTTAATCTTAACATTTTTGTGGTTTTAACAATCATAAACATTAAATATTGTAAACCAAAATTTGAGTCTTGAGTTGCTCTTTCATAATAATAGGGATGGGATATTTAGGTACTAAAAACTGAAAAATAGGTAACTAAAAAGGTACTAAAAAAAGCATTTTAGGTTAAAAAAACAGCATTTTAGGTAAAAAAAAAAAAAAAGTTCAAGTTTCTTTTATAATTTTGTTTAGCTGCATACCCAAACACAGAACATACCCACAATAAACTATTTCTATGCAATAAACTGTGTTTCACTGAGTGACACTCACTACACAGAAATTCTATAAACATAAGCTCAATACAAAGAAATACTGTAAAGAAAGTTACTGTTACAGTCTGTGACCCATAGAAATAATTTAGAATAATAGAATAATTTCTTTGCTGTGACCATAAGAAAAAATTCTATACCGTTGAGTTGCACGCCCTGGATAAAATATTGGCGGAAAATTTAAAAAGAACACAAAAAAAATAAAATAAGTAAAAATACGTAAAAATAGATAACAAATATGCACAGAGAGAAAAATTTTGCCAAAATAACTATCCAAAGTATTGTTAAATGACGTATCGTGAATTTAGTCAACTGTTTTATTAAACTGAGGATCTGTATAGCTAATTTAGCCATACAAATCCTCAGTTTAATAAAACAGTTGACTAAATTCACGATACGTCATTTAACAATACTTTGGATAGTTATTTTGGCAAAATTTTTCTCTCCGTGTGTGAAAATAAACTGACAAATTAAAAAATATGTAAAAAAAGTAAAGCAAAAACCTCCAAAAAAGGTAAAAAAGGTGAAAACTAGTTAAAAAAATAGGTAAGAAAAGTATAAAAAAGGTAGTTTAAAGCAAAAAAAATGTAAAAAAGGTGAAAACAAGTTAGGTTCATATAAAAGAAAATCTTTTAAAACACATTTTGGCATTATTGGTTTTCAAATAGTTACATCGGTTGAAAAAAGGTAAAATAACTAAAATCCCATCCCTAATAATAACTGTTATAATATTACGTAGGGCTGAGTTTCAAAAATAAAAATTAAAAACTGGGTGTGCAAAGTTACCCCCTGGTTGCGGGTAACTTTGTCTCACAGTGTATTTTACGGATAAAATTAACTCAATATTTTATTTTTATTAGACCCATGTTAGCAGCGACATACATCTATTGCACGGGATTACCGATAAAAAAAATAAAAAAATCGATTTGAAAAACTTCATTTGACTTTTTGATTTCTCGTTACCAGCTAGCTCTTTATATTAGCGCTTCAAAAAAAAATTATTTAAAAATTTTTAATTTGGAAAATCAGTACCCTGTACAGGGTGATCCCCTATAATGTCACCCCTCTTTAACTTTTTTATTTTAAGTGTCCCAAAAAATTTAAAAGTGTGGTTATGTAGGTACTAAAAATACTTTTTTTCTATGTATAAAAAAAGGAAAATTGATCAATATACAGGGAAAAACAAAAAGTTTATTTTTTTTCAATGGATCACCCTATATATTAATTTATTTTTCGATTCCTTATAACATTCTGAGCATAATTCATATAACAAACCATATTCAACCGTTTCTGAAATATTTGAATTCGAAATGTTATCATTAATTTTTTTTTTAACTGTTAAGCCTGAATTATAGATTGCCTTCCTTCCTTCCTTCCTTCCTTCCTCCCGTAGAAGATGAACAATACGAAACCCAATAAACAGGACGGCATTCCTTCCTCCCGTAGAAATTTTTAAGTTTTATCTTTCACCGTAAAGGTCTTTGACATGACCAATCACAGTGCTTGTTATGGACATGCGCTGTAGGGTGACAGCGCGTAGGTACAAAATATTTAAAATACATGATTGTTTGGTATTATTTAAGATAGGTGTTCAGTTTATTAAATTATTTGTGTCTCTAAATAGGATATTTAGATATTGTTTATGATCAATGTCTTTCATTTTTAGAGACGTTGCTTTGTAAAACCCCGTAGTTTCCCGGTCTTGGTAAAGTGGGCGAGTCTTCCAACGTCTTGTTCGATGTTTTTTTTCATTATACTGCCCTACTATAGTAAATTTAAAAGTAAACTACGTACACGTCATCAATAAAACAAAAATTTTACGCATTGGTACCAACACTAAATGACTAAATTGAAGTCTGTAATTGAATATTTGAATGCATTTTAAACATCTACAGTTGGCAACAATTAAGATGTTGTCATATTTACATTCAAATATTTCATATTTAAATGATACATAAAAAAGAATTTGACGTTTTAGAATTTCGAAGCTGTCAGTTGTGTTTTTGAATATTTCGTTTAATTCGTGTATTATTTCGTTTATTTAGTTTGTTGTTTTTGTTATTTTATATCGTTTAAGTTTTCATTGCCGTTTTTGTGTTTGTTATATATCGTTTTTTTGTGTTTCCTATATTTAAAATGCCGAAGCATTTAAATAGTCGGAGTCAAGAGTTGGTGTCATCCTTAATACGCTATTTTAAGGCAGAACGGGATAATAATGGACCTTTGTTACCTTTAACAGCTGTTAGAAAGGTAAATAGGATTATTATTAATTATATATTAGAATATTTAACAAAATATATGTTGGATACATAAAATAATAATATATATACCAGAGACTGACTTTAGATGGCAAAATGTTTGGGTTTTATATCAGAAAATGTCTTTAAAAATGGCTAAAATCATACTTTTGGCGGTGCATCATATAGGTTATAAAAACTCAGACTTTTGACATTTTGGTATTATTCATGTAAACGCCATCTATCGCCCTGTAGTTGTACTACCACTTTCCCTTGATGCAAGGATTTTAGCATCACATTGACAACCGTGCCCGATCAGCTGATTGATGACGTGTACGTAGTTTACTTTTGAATTTACTATATGAAGAAAGGCAGTAACTACAAAAAAAATTCTAAATGCGTTTTCTTGTGCTATGATAAAGCTGGACATTTTGTATCTTAATTCAACAAAGAAATGCAGTAAACTACCTTATAAGTTAAATAAATCAGTTAAATACCTACCGCTTTTTATAAAAATGTAGTTTATGCTAATTTCCCACAAATTTCTTGATTAGCAGTTACTGCCTTTATCCATAGTTGGGCAGTATACAACAAGCTGCCTGGGCAATTAAAATTGTGATCACTGCACTAATATATAAATGTTTATCTTTCATATTTACACACAATGGGTAAAACGCAGAATATAAACAAAAACAAATGTCAACCATTTTAGGTGTCATCGCGCATGGTTACGGAATTTTACACGGAAATCTATAAATTGACTTTTTACAAGACGCACAAATCGTACGGGCACGACTACGGGAGGAAGGCTTTAGAAATCAAGAAGCCTCAGTATACCAAAATTTTTATTGAAAATAAATTAACATAGTGACATTATGTCATAATTTCTTGTTAAATAAGTAAAAATACCGTACCCAGACAGAGAAAGACAAACTATTTCAACTTATTATCTTAAAAATAATTTAAATATTTCAGAAACGGTTGAATTTATATGAAATATGCTAAGAATTTTACAAGGAATCATATATAGGGTGATCCATTGAAAAAAAATAAACTTTTTGGTTTTCCCTGTAAACTGATCAATTTTTCAATTTTCTTTCAACGCGAATCGTATTTATATAATAAGAAAAAGAAATTAGAAAAATGACTTCCTCGAAAAATTGAAAATAAATATTTTTACAAGTAAAGTTAAGTCCATTCGTGGACACACTGTATTTTTGAAAAACAATTATATCAGAAGTGAATTTAGCACCGTCAAAAACATAAAAAAGTGACGTGCTGGGAAAAATATTTAAAGAATAATTCTTTCTTTCCAGCGCCAACAAACGGGGCGCAATCTCAGGGCGCAGTAAAAAAGATTGACATAGGTAAGGAAGCGGCCATTGAGGCCGAAGTGAGGGCAGCAAAGGAGCGCGCCGTGATCCCTCTCGAGACTCGAATAAAATTGTTTAAAGAAATGCTGGCTGAAAAGCAGGTATCTGCTTTTAGCACTTGGGAAAAAGAGTTGCACAAAATTGTGTTCGATTCCAGATATCTTTTATTGACTTCGAAAGAACGGAAACAGGTATTTGAAAAGTATGTTAAAGAGAGGGCGGAAGAGGAGAGGAGGGAGAAGCGGAACAAGCTCAGGGAGAAGAAGGACCTGTTCAGGAAGTTGCTCAGCGAATCTCATTTGCACGGCAAGTAAGTATCAAACATTCCGTTTTTTTTTTTTATTTTCAGGTATTGTGCTACATTTTCCAACAATAAATTTGTCAAAAATCTAATTTGGAATGTTAAAAATACAGTCTTTTTTTGTTCTATCTCAGTTTTTCTTCACTGTTTTTTTTCTTTACATTTTGCTTTTTTACCATTGGAAGAATTTTTCCAACTAAAACTTGAAATGTCACGTTAAGGGATTATTCTGTTTTGTTTGTTCTTTTGTAGTTTTTTACTTTTTTTTTCTTTTTTTACAATTTACATTTTTTGCTATTTTAAAGATGTTACTAGGGATGACAACGATAAATCAATATAAAAATATGATATTATTATATGATTATATCGATATATCGAAAAAGATATCGTTATATTTTTAAATATGTCGGTATAAAAAAACTGTATATTTTTCGATCATATTTTTTTTAGCGTATTTTTTTATAATGTAGACGTTTTAATATCAAATGTGCAATATTTAATAATAATTGAATCGGTGAGAATAAGAACAGTACATGTCCAAATGTTGAATTTTGAGAAAACAAAATAAACTGTTTATTTTGTTCATTAGGATTTTTCAGGTTTAAAAGTACAGAGAAGCTGTGGTGTATGAGTTTAGACATCCATTAAACTAAAAAAAATTTTTTACCATGTGCATCCTTAATTATACACAAAAAATAGACTTGGACTTGTACTGTTCTTAATCTCAATAAAATCGGACACAGAATTCAATTGTAATAATAATAATAATAATAAATGATTATTATTATTATTATTATTATTACAATTGAAAAAAATAAAACATCACGATGTGGCCATTGGAAGAATTTTTACGATTAAAACTTGCAGATGTCACGTTAAGGGATTATTCTGTTTTTAGTTCTTCCGTAGTTTTTTACTGTTTTTTCTTTTTTACATTTTACGTTTTATGCCATTTCTAGAGAGGTTACTAGGGATGACAAATATATATCGAAATAGATATAGATATATTTTTAAATATATCAGATGTCTTTGAGAACCCATTTTTAGTAATAGCGTTGATTAAAAATTTTAATAGAAATAAATATATCAAATGCCCAATATTTGTTTATGTTATGGTATTTTTGTAATAAATTCTTTGGTTGGTTAAGTAAAATTTATTAAATTTTTTTATTTAAACATACAATTAAAAAAAATCCAATAACTAATAAAGCTTTTATATCAATTTTATAATCTGTCATCTCCACATTATGTTACTTTAAAGTTTTTTTTTCGTTTTTTTGTTGTTTTTTCTCAGTTTTCTTCACTGTTTTTTTAAATGTTTTTTTGAAAATATGCATATGTTAAGTTACGGGATTTTTTCTTTACATTTTACGTTTATTGCTATTGAAAGAATTTTCCCGGCTAAAGTTTTCGAATATTTTAGTCATAAAGCTTTTTTATAGAGCGCACAGTGTTTAAATTCTTGAAATTTTCGGCAAAATATCAAGGAGTAGTCGGATTCTCCTAAAAATCCTTAAATAGAGGTTTTTGGGGTCGCTGATAACGAATCTGGAATCAGAATTCCAAAATTCAAAATGGCGGACATATTTGTCAAAAAATTGACGGAATAAATTTAAAATCACCGTACAGGGGTTTTTGGGGTCGCTGATAACGAATCTGGAATCAGAATTTCAACATTCAAAATAGTAGATCCAAAATGGCGGACATATTTGTCAAAAAATTGACGGAATAAAGTGAAAATCACTATACAGGGGTTTTTGTGGTCGCTGGTAATGAATCTGGAATCAGAATTCCAAAATTCAAAATGGTGGACATTTTTAAAAACCCGTAAGAGGTTCTTTTTAAAATGTAAATAAAACATCTTTTTAAAAAATAGCTTAATTTAGTTTATTATAATAACATTTATATGATATTATTTAATACCTACATACATATTAAACAATCTCCGTCACTGGATTCGCTAAAAACATTGTCAACACAAATAACCACAATTCAAATTTGACATTAACACACTACAATGCGCATGCGGAGTTGTTTTAACACACCTACAAGATGTGGGCTAAATATGTAAAATCGGTGTTAAATATCTTAGTAGTCACGAACGATTTACGCAAGTGTTGTTGTAATAAACGTTTTGAGTTAAATCCGAGTGAATCGAGTAAACGTCATGAACGCAACCCAAAAATAAAAAAAAAAATAATTTTTTAAAGCAAAAACACAGATACGCGCGCGACATAGACTAGACTACCACATCCGTGCCTGAGCGCCCAAGAACATGTAGTTTTAAAGAGCCGGGGGCGAGTTGGGGCAGATAATTTATTGATGGCTTGATAGACAAAACTCTAAGCTATTTAACGGATCTTGAACTGATGCCTTACAATTCATTACAATTTTTGTAGCTCCATTGTTCTAAAAGCTCGATTCAAAGTTTGCGATTTTAACAGACCGATCTTGTCGGTTACAATAACCCGTTGTACAAGCAAAATCTACGAAAAACAAATACATATCTGAATTTTACATACCTTGAAGATCACCCTTCATCAAACCGCATAACATTTGGACACACCAAACACAAGTTATTCACTTTTATACAATAAACAATTTTCCGCAGCGATCGCGTGTAAAGTACCTTCAACTGAAAGCGTCAAGTTTAATGTACAAGACAAAATATAATTTTTATTCAATACAGGATGGAGACAGGTATTAACTACCCATCTAACTCAAAATTTACCTTTTCAATTTTTGAGGTTTTGCCGATATTTTCGAGAATTGAAACATTGTGGAGCGTTTAATTTACCGACAAAAATATATATTGGAAATTCCTGCATTTACTGTTCAAGAGAAAAAAACTAAATGTAAAAAATCCCATTTTATTTTTCGGCAAGGCTTAATATTAATTTAAAAACCTTTTTTTGGGTTTATATATTTTTATAGGATATAAACTGCCCTCATTTTTTTGACAAACTTTTTTTTTCAGATCGTCCTTTAGCGATTTTGCGCAAAAATTCGCGAAAGACGAGCGCTTCAAGGGCGTGGAAAAGATGCGGGAACGCGAAAGTTTGTTTAATGAGTACTTGATCGAAGTCAGGAAACGCGAGAAGGAAGAGAAAAGTCAAAAGCGCGAACAGGTAAGAACAAAATTTTTTTACAGGAAAAATCTTTTCCAATGAAACAAGTGTACAACTTGTCGAATTATAAAATGAACTATGTGAAGTGAAATGTTACAGTTAGTAATACCAGCCATGGGGCAGTAAAAATGTCTGATTTAAAGCGTTGTTGCCAAGTTATATATAATGGACTGCTACCCATCATTGGTATTACTAATTATTCCTTTAAATAGTTCCAAATTTTAACTATTATGTAATTATTTGTTATTTTGTGTTTTTTGTGTACTTAACATCTATTGAGTTAGTGGTTTGGTTTTCAAAATATTTTTAGGAATTTCAGCACATGGTATGTAGCTTTTTATAATTAATGAAAAATATTTTATGAACTAAATGTATATAAATTTAAGCAATACATTTTTTTTGCAAATTATTTTATCAAAAAAAAATCATAAAATTTATGAGTTGGTTCTAATGCTCAGGGTGTCTAGCAGTCGGAAAAGTCGGTAAGTTTTAATTTAAAATTACATTTGAGGTAGTATTTCCATTTGCAGAGTTTGACAAATAAAATTCAAAAAACTTTGTATTTTAATTTTAATACTTAATACAAAATAAAGTATCTTTTCAAACTAAAAAAGAAATAAGTAACAATATAAATTGTTAATTTGTGGTTAAAATGTCAAAATTAAGGTTTAAAACTTTCAGTTTTTGTGTTGCTTAACTCTGCAGCAAGTAATTTAAAATGACAATTTGAAAAAGCGGTAAAATAGTATATTATTATACGAGAGATAATGCGCATAATATCGAGTGTAATACCATACTTAATCTACTCCAATAGTAGATAATTAAATGATTTTCAAAAATACATAAACAAATTCTAACATCTGGGCCATTTCAGGCGCGCGAAACGCACGAATTACAAAACTGTTTTTATACAAAAAATTATAGATAATTTATTATATAATATTTTGGCATCACAATTGTCAAAAATATTCTTCTTTTATTAGGCTATAAGTTAAATACAAAAAAAAAACGCAAGAAATATTTTATAAAAGTAGAGATAATTTTAATAATTGAAAGGTGTGGACAGGACAAAAAAAGATTTATCTTGTCCTGTCCACACCTGTCAATTATTAAAATTATCTCTACTTTTATAAAATATTTCTTGCCTAATAAAAGAAGAACATGTTTGACAATTATGATGCCAAAATATGATTTAATAAATTATCTAGCATTTTTTTTTATAAAAACAGTTTTGTAATTTGTACCGTCAGCATACTATACTTTTTCTACGACAAATACTAAATATTATCTAAAAAATTATTAAAATTAAATATTTTTAAAACGCGACATCTATTAATTAAACTTAACAATTATTGATACTAAACTATTAAAAAATTTAAAATATGATTATGTTAAGAAATAGCATATTATGTATCATGTTTTATAAACGCCATTTTAGTTACGAGTTTTATTAGGCACGAGCGAAGCTTGCGAGTGTTTAATGAAAACGAGTATCTAGAGAAGTTTATAAAACGAGTTGCATACTATACTTTTTCTATGATAAACACAAAGAATTTGTTAAACATTTGACATCTGTCAACTGTCAACAGATTTAACCCCACTTTTTCCAAATTTATAATAAAGCTAACTTCAGCCCGTGACTAAAATGGCCGAAAGCCACTGCTGCTAACTTCAGCCCGTGACTAAAATCACAGCTTATCAATAGAGGAGTAGATAAATATTTTTTTCTTTGATTTTTTTTATTACAATAATTGCAAAATACTATCGCAAAGTATTAAAAATTCTTGCACGGGAAATATTAAAGGTACAAAAAGTGTATTTATTGGAATTTCTAACTTGGGAATCTACCGGTGTTAAAATCTCAAATTTCCCTGTGTAAATCAAAATTTATCCCTTGAAAATAGAGCAACAATCGATATAGAACCAGTTTTTACAGTAAAAGAGAAGAGAATATTTTATGGGCACTGTACGCAAATTTTTTACGCTTTATCAGTTAAATCTAGTTAACTGCACTACTAGGGCGAAATCAAAAGGTCAGTAAAAACGTTTATATAATCTTTTAAAATATTGGCGTCAAGAAACTATTTAATAATTTTGTATTTTTGTGTTAAGATAATACAATAATTTTCACATTTAGTTTACACTTTATTTTAACGATTTTAACTTCAGCCCGTGACTAAAGCGCCTTAAAGCCAAAGCTTGTCAATGTGTATTTTTTTGGGCGTTTTAAAGGTGGTGGTAGAAAAAATCATATATTAAATTTTTGAGACATTCTATGGAAACTCTTCAAATGGAGATACTAACTTAATAAAAAACTAATTTTCGAAAAAAGTCGTTTTGTTATTCGGATAATTTTTGGAGCTTGCTGGACGCCTTGGCGATGAGATAGTTTGCAAAATCGAATGTGGAATGTAATGGAAAATCCAAAATGTGTCTAGTAAAAAATGAGTCTTTTAAATCTAGCTTCATTACTTTTTCAAGAGAGATGTGTGGCGCAAACTCTTTCTATGTTGCGCGGTCCGAACGCCAAAGGAACGCATGTGCAGTTGTCAAGCAGTCAAGGTCACCGCGCGCTCCCTGCTACCAATGGGGTTTAATTTTCTTTTACGGTACATAATCATCAAGTTAGTTGGTTTTTTTCACATCAAACTCTTATATACCTATTATAAGTATTCTAAACTCTATTCTAAATGTTTATTTCAATAAGATAAGATTTAAGAATAATTTTGAATGATATGATTAAAATTTTATCCAAAAGGTTTACTTACATTTAAATGTGTTTTATTTACAGGTTGTTTTTATGTTTAATTGTTTTATTTAGGTGGAAGAACGCTGCTGACCCATTACACAGTGTGTTTCATTTTGATTGGGAATTTATTTAAAAATAATCCGATTTAAATTTTTTTTTTTAAATTTCAAACATATGTCATTTCCATGGCATTCTATGATTAATAGAAGAACTCCAAAAACTTTAAAAATTATTAGGCATTTTTTAAATTTAAAAACTGTTTGCGTTTCTGAATCTAGCATTTCCAAAAACCTCTAAAACGATAATTTTGTAATACTCTTTTATACAGAATGGTCAAAAAGTAATGTCAAATTTGGAAAAAAATCATTTTTTTAACCAATTTCTATAAATTCTAGAAAAAATGTTGCAAAAACATTCTGTCATTTCTTGTTGGGCAACTTTTGACCTCATTTTGTTTATATAGTTTTCGGAGAAAATTAAACAGTATTTTGTTATGAGAACATAGATAATATAATAAATATACTGTTCCAGACCGGGCCAGTCACTTTTTCAAACAGTTTCTGAAATATCTGTGTTTTCTAAATTTGAATGCAAGGGAAGTGACAAGTATACCAGGGTACTATTAAATACATAATTTATTGGAAAATATAAGATTTATTGCAACTTTGAGTATATTATACATTAAATATCTTAAAATCAAATAATACCACACATCAGTGGCGGCTGGTGGATTTTGGGTAAACCGCGGTATCTCAATTATTAGATATGGACCCACACCGAATTTATATGAGTTTATAATGACATTAAATAAACAAGTTCTGCGCAAGCAAAATTTAAATTGAAGTTTGCGAAAAAAAGATACCCGAAACATCGAACATGGAACTGACGACACGGTACTGATGAATGGGATACAAATTTGAGATTATAATTCGGAATTAAGTATTTTACTGGTATTTTTTATTGGTGGATGCTACTTATCAACAAATCACATATAGCCTTATATAAATTACAATGAAATATATATAGGTACGTAAGAAAATTACTACTCACCACAGTACTGAAATTTTGACGAACTATACGTGCATTCACCACAACTTCGCCGCTTGCATTGTTTTCAAGATGACTGTCGTGCAAAGGGCGGGCTCTGTAGGTAATTTTTTACCAACACTTAAAACGAGGACTTGACGTTTAAACTTTAATATTTCGCAGGAATTTTGAATTTTAACATTGGACACATAACTGACGGGTAAAAGTGAGTACAAAGATTATCAATTTTTTTAAAATTGCTACTATTTGAATCTATAATAAAATATGAAAAATACGTTATTTAATGTTTTATAGTTTGTAGTGATTTAATTTAAGATAAATTGAATATATTTTAAAATAAAATCACTCAAATATTTGATTCAGAAATTGTGACACGCCAAGGTACTGATGTTTTGAATATTTATTATGTTTTTCTACAAACGTGCTTTTGAAAAAATAAATTAAAATTGGGTGGACAAGTGAAAAAAACCTGTATCTTTTGTAATATACTAAAATATTTACAAAAAATATTAAAATACCTACTCTATTGACTGATGACATCAAGTCCAACTTTTGTAGAATCACCCTAATATTAATCTAATTATAGCCAAAATATTAATGATTTTATGCACGATGACATTATAATATGACAATTATAACAAAAATTCTTTGACGTAAACGTCTTTTTATAGACCGCGGGCGTTATTATGACCCAGCGGGCTATAATGAAACGTCAAAAATTAAAAACAACAATGTTACACCATTTGATATATTCGAAGTAAGTTTTTTCGTATAAAGATTTTGATTTTTCCGGCAGCAGGCCGCAATTTTTCGCCTTTTCAGCTGCTTCCTCAATTTCATTCATCTTTAAACTTTAAAACTGACTGATGTCAGTTGACATTATAATATGACAATTATAACAAAAATTCTTTGACGTAAACGTCTTTAAAAACAATAATATATTAAAAATAATAATATATTAATCGTGCATAAAGTTTTGTATGCATTGCTGGCATAACTGGTTTTTATGGTCCTACGACGCTTTTCTAGCCCTCGCGCTAACGCGCTCGGGCTCGAAATAGCGCCTCGGACCATAAAAACCTTATTATGCCCTTAATACATAAATAACTATTAAGTGCCAGTATACATTGGAGTGTAGTTTATTCATTAATATTATGCCTCTAATTAATTTAATATTTCTATTTAAATTATGGTATTTTTTATAATTTTTTACATTCATTTGGGAACATAATATATAACATAACATATTATGTTAAAGTAACAAAACTAAGCGAATGTGTAGTTCATGTAATACCCAAAGAAATGACAAAATATTTTGGCAAAATCTTTGCTAGAATTTGAGCTTAAAAAAAGGATTATTTTATTACTTTTTGATTTATGCAATCTGTTTTTAAATTTAAAAAATGCCTGAACGTTTTTGGAGACCTTCTATTAATCATAGAGTCATGGATATGATGAGTACTAATTTTTTTAATGTCTATTTTTAAATGAATTCCGAGTTGTCGCCAATTAAAATGAAACACTGTAGGTATAGTTATATTAATATAATTCAATTTTTTTTTACAGAATGTGCCATCTAATATATAGAAATAAACGATTCTTTATAATTTGTAAATTCAGTGTAAAGTATTACAATTTGTAAAACATTACACTGAATTATCATTTCACAAATTGAAAGCCAAAAAATAATTGTATTTTTTTCTATTAATACCTTTTTTTATTATGTACATCTTCAGTCATCATACAAAATTAAGTCACTTAATTACTAAAATGTCAAAGCTTTTGGTGTTAGTAGTAAACTTTCTAAAGTGAAACTTCTTTTGGAGAATTTAATTAAATTCGTCTTTTGTTTTTATTTTATCAATAATTGTTATGTATGTTATATTTTTTATGTGGGATTTCTTAAAAAATTCAAATTCAAAAAACCTATATATAAATTAAATTTAAGGGCAGTTACATTCACAGGGAATTTATAATATTTATCATTATTCACGAAAAAAAAAACAATATTGTGCAATAGGAGTAGATAAACAATTTTAACGAAAATATCTATATGGCCATGGCGTTTTAACATTTATTAATTTTTTTTTAATTTAAAATTTTATTGGTATAAAATTTTCCTAAAAATTTTAGGTTTACATTTTTGAATTTAAAATATTTGCAACTATCATGAATTAAAAGAAAAACAATTCACTTCTGTATTAGGGTGAATACAGGGTGTCCCGAAATTAGGGGTCCAAACTTAAAACAGTGCATTCTTTATAGAAAAATAACACGTTTTTGTTTTATAAACATATATCAAAAAATGCCCCCTAACGGAGGTACGCCCCCCTAAATAGGAGCTTAAGAGCATCATTTTTTTAAAACTATTTCTGGTTAAACATAAAGACCTGAATTTTTGGAACTTTGGTAATTTTGACATTCTGAATCTGGATCTATAATCAAAACTGTTAAAATTTAATCATAGGCGTACATTTGAGGGGAAAATTTACAAAAACAGCCCCGACTTTTTGCAGAGTGAGTATTTTAATGTTTTGTTATCAAATTATGAAAATGTATAGTTTTTCACGAAAAATAGGTACTCTTGCTCTGAATCGCTCAGATGCACCATTTTCGAGAAAATTGCAATTTAAATTACTATGCTTAGCATAATTTCTAATATTTTCATTAAAAAGCTTTGGCTCGATTTTTGTTATTTTTTATTATGGAGCGATTTTTCAAATTTTAACACAAAATTTTAACGAAAATATGAGATGTGTATGCTATGCAGAGTAATTTATAAATGCATTTTTCTCGAAAATGGTGCATCTGAGCGATTCAAATCAAGATTACCTATTTTTCGTAAAAAACTATAAGTTTTCATAATTTCATAAATAAACATTAAAATATTATCTCGGAAAAAAGTTGGGGCTATTTTTATAACTTCCCCCCCCTCAAATGTTACGCCTATGATTAAATTTTAACAGTTTTGATCTTAGATCTTGGTTCAGCATCTAAAAATTACCAAAGTGCCAAAATTTAATTTCTTTATGTTTAACGCTCTAAGAATAGTTTAAAAAAAACTATTCTCTTAGGCTCCTATTCAGGGGGCCGTAGCTCCGTTAGGGGGCATTTTTTGATACATGTTTATTTAACAAAAAAGTGTTACTTTTCTATAAAGAATGCACTGTTTAAGTTTGGCCCCCTAATTTCGGGACACCCTGTATATTGAGATGTCCCCCAAGTGAAAATAATTTACTTTTAGTCTAGAATGGGGTTTTTGGGAAGCCAGGTCTAGTAAAACATAACATAAGTGGTTCTGCACTAATGCAAGAATTTTAAGAAATCATACATTTTGAATATTAGAGCTTCACGGATGATAGCTTCACGGAGGTTAGGATTTCGTATGTTTTTTTAAAACATCCCTTTGTATATTTGAAATAAGTTATAGTATCTTTTAACACCTTAATTTAAAAAAATTGTACATACATAAAATATTTATATAATATAATAATAATATTTGTTTTTATCGGTTGTTAATGCGCTTGTGCGTTCGGGGCGTTCGTCATCTTCAACGTCTTCACGGCCATCTTGGAAACTCTTATACCACTTGTTTTACTTATAGCAGACTCACTATAGGCTTTTGTTAACATTTCACAGAATTTATTTTATTTTTTTAAGCAAAATTGGATAGAAATTCTTTGATCCATTTCTTTTAACGAACGAAAAATCGCCGAGCTCATAACACACGTCTAACCTTAGCGGCTGCCCCAGACAAAGTAAACAATGAAAACAGCTAAAGTTTTTATCATACTTCAGGGGCATATATACCAACATAATAAAGAAAATTTTATGACAACCGGACCCTCCGAACCCGCGAAATTTAACAATTCCCGTTATTTTCTCACCTCGTATATACAAAATTATAACATTGTGCTTTCATGAAAATTATCGTTTGATTTTTCGAGTTTCGATTACGCAAAGAAGTTTCACTACAAAAAGTACAATTTTTGGTATAAAATAAAAGGTTTTAAAAGAGAAACAAATACAATTAAAAAGTATAACCATATACATTTAATTATTAAACATTATTTTCAGGTTTAGGTAAAACTAGTTAATAAGCGTTTTAATTCTAATATACTTATTTTCAGTATCTTCCAGCTAAGGCAGATTTGGGAGTTCATCGAATCTAATTAAAATTTAAAAAATACAATATTAGAGTTAGGTTAATTTTAGTCCGGAAACTGTCCGCGCTCCTTTACCGATCGTCTTGTCGCGTTTGCAGGTGAAGAAAGACTTCTTCGCGATGCTGCGCGAGCATTCGGACGTCGACCGGCACTCGCATTGGTCCGAGGTGAAGCGCAAGGTGGACGCGGACCAGCGCTACAAGGCCATCGACTCGCAGGGCCAGAAGGAGGAGTGGTTCAGGGAGTACTGCAAGATGCTGAAGGAGGAGAAGAAGCGCGCCAAGGAGAAGGACAGGGAGCACAAGCGCGAGAAGGAGAAGCACAAGAAGAGCAAGAGGGACAAGGATAGAGGCGACAAGGAGGGCAAAGACAAGGGGGAGAAGGACAGGGATTCGAAGAAGCAGGATGAGGGGGTGGTGGAGGATGAGGACCCGGACGCCAGCGTCAAAGCAAGCGAGGTAGGTTCACATTAGATAAACTTTTTTTTTCAACCGTCAGTAAAATGACTCTTTTGTGACATCTCGTCATTACATCGTTTCGGGTGTTACATTTGTCCAACCAAATTGTAAAATTAGTACAGTTAAGCATATATGTATATTAGGGTGTCCCTTATTTTTTTTTTTACGCATACCCTCTAATTATATTTATTACTTGTTTATATACTCCCAGTAAAAATTTCATCTCATTCTATAAACGGGAACCCGTGCCGACTTGCATCTGAACCCTCTGTTAGCCAACGTTAGGCGCGCGGTATTTTGTAACACGAAAAAAAAAAGATATACTTCATGACTGTATTTTTCTAATGATTTTATTAAATATGATTACTAATTAATATTATTGCTTTTGTTTCTATCATTTGTTTCACTAATTTAGTTGATTTTATCCCTTAAATATTTTAATAAACTAATTAGTATTGCTAAAATATACTGTTATATGAAATTTCAGCTTTTTATAAGCATTTCTTTTCTTGATGTCCTCCCAGAAATATTTCAGACACAATAGACTCTTTTAGTTATTTAGAGTAAAACCCATTAAGTTTATCAATTTCAGAGTTTACGGCCTATTCACCAGACCCTTCCGGGTAACTAGCCACTCCCTGTGAAAATATACATTTTTATCAAAGTATACACATAAATAAAACTATATTTTAACATTTGTCAATAATTTATAATATAAGGTTCACATAATAACAAACACAAAATGACTTACGATCGAAGACCTCGCGACCAACCGTGTTACAAAACACCGCGCGCCTAACGTTGGCTAACGGAGGGTTCAGATGCAAGTCGGCACGGGTTCCCGTTTATAGAATGAGCTGAAATTTTTACTGGGAGTATATAAACACGTAATAAATATAATTAGAGGGTATGCGTAAAAAAAATAAAAATAAGGGACACTAATGTATATACAATTATTTTTTTTTTCAATGTTGTTGAGAAATTAATAGTACATTAAAAAACAAAAACTTTGGCGCCTATTTGAGCCCTAAAATATTAATATTAAGGTTTGCCTCAATTCATTTGTTGTTTTCCCATTTCAATAATACGGGAATTTTTTTTTTAATTTTGAATTCTTATAACTTCGAAATGGTTTTGTTTTCAAAACACCCAAGCGAGAGGATTTATAGGAAAATTAACGCTCTACAAAAAACATCTGAAGGTCAAAGTTCTTCAGATCAACCGTTTCAAAGATATCAGCGATCAAAAATAACACTAATCAAAAATTTCAAATATTTTCCAATAAAACTACAAATATATATAATATATATAATGAATTAATTAGCAAAGAAAAAGTTTACAGTGTCAGGTTAACAAAATTAAAGTGATTTTACATAAAAAATAATATAAATATGGCATATGATATATTTTTGTAGTTTTATTTGAAATTTTTTTTATTAGTGTTATTTTTTGATCGCTGATATTTTTGAAACGGTTCATCTAAAGAACTTTGACCTTCAGATGTTTTTTGTAGAGCGTGAAATTTCCTATAAATCCTCTCGCTTGGGTGTTGCGAAAACAAACCATTCCAAAGTTATAAGAATTCAAAATTATAAAAAAAAATCCCGTGTTATTGAAATGGAAAAACCACAAATGAATTAAGGCAAACCTTAATATTAATATTAAGGGCTCAAATAGGCGCCAATATATTTTTTTTTTTAATGTACTATTAATTTTTCAACATTATTAGAAAAAAAAATAATTGTTTTTTAAAAAATAAAATTTAATTTTTGTTTTCGCTCTTACCCGCTCAAATGTTTCTATTTAATATAAAAAAAAATCCTCACCAAATATGGGCGTTTCAGCTCAACTTTAAGAGGTCGCATATCATCTGGCAAGTAATCTACTAAATTATATAAATTTTTTAACATTTATCGAAATAATCATACTGGTAATTATTTAATTCTAAATAATTAAAATATAACAGAAAATTAAACTTAAAAATAAAGTTAACAAGCAATACAATTTTTATTCTTAATGTTTTTAGTATAGTGTATGACCTCTTGCATTTAGAACGGCGCGAATTATTCTCGGCATACTCAGAATTAAATTGTCCAAGTCGTCTTGAGGTAAAAGTCTCCATACCGCCCTTAACGCTCAAAAAATCTGATTCTCATCTAAAAGTCTTCTCTGGAGCATATCCCATGTTTCCTTGTATCATGCAATTTTTCCTTTCAGGATAAAGAGGCAGACGGTACGGACGACGAGAAGGCGCAAGAGTTGAAAGACAAAGAAAGACAAGCAAGAGCGGAAGCTAGCCTGAGAGAAAGGGAGAAGGAGGTGCAGAGGACGCTGGCCAATCACATGAGAGACAGGGACAAGGAGAGGGAACATCACAAACGCGACGAGGCCATACAGGTGAGGTGTTGAAAGGTTCCAATTAGGGTTGGGACAGTTGAAAATTTCAACTTTGAAAGTTTCAAACTTGAAATATTTCATTTAGTTGAAAAAGTGAAATTTTTGAAATTCGAAAATTTCAACATTGCCTGTGAAACTTTCAGAAATTTCATTGAAAGTTTCGCAATTTACTGAAAATTTCGCATAAATTTCACATGCGGCCTCCCCTGGGACCTTAAATAATAATTTACAACAGATTCCGAATCGACCAATAAGAACGAGTTATCAAGCGTCTGGGCGTTTTTGTTTAGTTCGGCTTGGATTTGAATACACTATAAGTAATTATTGTTACTTATATGCATAAATTAATTTAAATAATTTAATTCAGTTACCAATTTAATTTGTAAATTAAATTAGACTAAAATTTTTTTAAAAGTCATGATTAATTTAAACTTTTACTTTTGCTATAATTGCATCGGAAAACGGATAAAAAATGCCTTTGGCTCATAAAATTTTGATGAAGTTTCTTCAATTTTCGTAAAATTTCAGTAAAATATATAAAAATAATAAATATATATAAATATAAAACAATGAAAGTGGCACAATCTCATTGGCTTACCAAAAAGTGCTATATCTCTTTTAGTTTTAGCAATTTTAAAAATATTTTAAAAGGAAATCTCAAGAAATTTGTGGTAAACATAGGTATTTACTATTTATATTATTAGAGGTCAGGGGCCCACAGAGGGGTAGGAGGTAAGAGAGGCAATTTGTTATGGTCACCGAGTGGGCTTATTTCAATATTAATATATTACACTTAAAAGTTTCAATAAATTTCATAAATCTCGTGAAAATTTCAAGTGAAATTTCAAGTACAAGCAAAAAGTGAAATTTTCCCAACCCTAGTTGCAATGAACTTTTTTTTCGAGCAAACGTTTCCGCGTTTCAGCACTTCAACGCTCTGCTGGCCGACCTGGTGCGCAACCCGGACCTGAGCTGGCGCGAGGTGAAGCGCATCCTGCGCAAGGACCACCGCTGGGACCTGGCCGACTCGCTGGGCCGCGACGACAAGGAGAAGCTGTTCAACGACCACCTCGAGCACCTGCTGCGCAAGAAGCGCGAGAAGTTTCGCGAACTCTTAGACGAAACGCCGGAGGTCACTCTGGTGAGCGGGTGGAAGGAGATCAAGCGGCTCGTCAAGGAGGACCCGCGCTACACCAAGTTCGCCTCCAGCGAAAGGGTAAGTAACTGCACCCAAACTGCTATTTTTTTTAAATTTATTTAATATAATTTATACAGGGTGTTATGTAATTAATGTTATATATTAAAATGGGTTGTTCCTTAGGGCCCATAAAGAAGCACCTGAAACTTTTTTTTTCTAAATTCCATAGTCTAAAAATAATTTATAATAACCTTTATCCTACCAAAAAGTACGCCACTGATCGACTAGGAACTTTAGGCTAATCTGGTGGATTTATTATGTTATGGTTGGTATCAACAGTGTTTCCAAAATCTCTCAAAAAAGTTGACAAACATTGTTTAAATTTAGCTTAATTACAAAAATGACAAAATTAACAATGCAAATTGTCAATTTGGCGTTTTTATTAATTGTTGGTTATTTCATTTTTGTACTGAAGGTAAATTCAAACTAAATCTGCCAACTTGTATGGCAGAATCTAGTGCATTTCTTTTAAATTTTAGGTTATGTTTTCAAATTGTAAATATCTTAACTAAGGGAAGTGCTTTTGGATTTATTTACACAAATTAAATGTTTAAAGTTTAACCTGTGAACTGGTCCCAATTTCATCTGAGTAAACAGAGAAAAAACTGATGAAAAAATTAATTTTGTGGTTATGGATTTCAAATTTCAAAGGTACTAAATTTTCTAAGCATTGCTTAAGCTAATACCTGGATCAGTAAATAAATACAAAAGGGTATTAGAGCTAAGGGCATAAAACTTTTGTATTTATTGAGTTTTTATTTATTTTTTGCAAGAAAAATTTTTAGTAACAATTTTTTACATCTGGCAACGCATAGCTACTTTGTTGGTTGGTATCTATGTACTCACAAAATACAGGTGTGCAGAGATAAACAAGTGTGTAACCAGTGGCGTATCACAAAAAATATAAAAAACTTCTAATGCATATTTTTTCTTTATCTTTGGAAAAATGTTTTTTTAAATATTTTTCCTTTATTCCTTATGTCAAAAGGTATTCAGTATTTTAATATATAACATTAATTACATAACAGGGTGTTATTGAAAAAAAAATTACAATTATAATATAATATAATGTTGAGACTTTTACAGCATTTAAAAAAATCGAATTGTTTTCTACATTCGACACTAAAAAATTTTGTAGTCCTTTATAAAAAATACTATATTTCATTACACAGTAGTAACATCAAAAAAACACAAAAAATCGCCGGGACACATAAACTTAATTTTTCGGTGTAGAATCCAGTAATGTAATCAGTTTTGGTTGATTATTTGTGTTTTCTCAAGATATTTAAAATTTTGTGTTTAAATATTTTTATTTTGCTATATACAGGGTGAGTCAGAAGTAGGTGGATTAATTTAAGGAGGTGATTCTACAGATTATTTTGAGTCGTTTGAACCCCATATTGCCTTATCCAAAAGTTATTAGTTTTGGAGTTATTTGATTTTTTGTGATTTTGGTAAAAAATCGTGTCCAGGTTTACAATTTTTTAAATTTCGCGATAAGAATTAAAGTTAATTAAACGATTCTTTTTTTAGTAGTTAGCCCATACATTGGTACATGCCACTTCAGAACAACAGTATAAAATAAAATTTTATTCGCGAATTTGGAAGACTTGTTAAGTTCATCAGGATTTTTTTTTAATTTCACTATACACTTTGCGTGCAAATTATTTAAAAAACTTTCTTAATGTATTACATTTCGAATGATGTATAATATGTCCATAAAAACTATTATTTTTGGATAGAAAATGTCACCTTTGTAAGGCACATACAGGTTTTAGTTCACCCTAGGATTAACAGTTCCAGGTAGTAATGGGTCTTGATGTATTATTTGTATTAATAAAGGTAATATTTAACTAATATGGAAACAAATTAAAGAAAATTTTACCTGGAATAATAATTATTAGGTATTAACTATTCTTGAGGTATCAGGAATTGTTTATTGTATATTGCGAAATAAAGGTTTAATTCATATTAATTCAACATGCCAATCTTTTCAAATGCTGAATACGCTGATATTATGTTTGTATATGGATTTTGTAATGGAAACGCAGCCGAAGCTCGACGAGAATATCAAGTAAGGTTCCCACAAAACCGCGTTCCTAATGAAAGAGTATTCAGTACAACATATCGTCGTATAGCTGAAACCGGCACTGTTATACCAAGACCACGCATTGGAGCTCCTGAAGTTTATGTAAATGTTGATGAAGACATTCTAGAAAGATTTGAAGAAGATCCAACTACCAGCACAAGAAAAGTAGCTTCTGAGTTGGGTTTAACACAAAGCAAGGTTGCTCGTGTAATGAAACGTTCAGGCCAGCATGCATTTCATTATACACCTGTCCAGGGTCTAGAGGAAGGTGATCCCCAACGAAGAATCAGCTTTTGCAGATATTGATAATCACAGGTTCTTGTCTAGAATTTTTTGGACTGATGAGTCTAAATTTAGTAGAATATATAATACATAAGAAAAGAATATCTAGTTTTCAAAGAAAATTTAGTGTAAATGTGTGGATGGGTGTAATTGGCAGTACACTGATCGGTCCTCACTTTTTGCCAGATAATTTCAATGGTGAAGCTTATGGGGAATTTTTGAATAACGTATTGCCAGAATTAATGGATGATGTTCCATTAGCAAATAGGATTGAAATGTTTTTCCAACACGATGGATGCCCAGCCCACTATAGCATCAATGTTCGGCGGTTTCTAGATCAGAGGTTTCCAAATCGTTGGATTGGTAGAGGGGGACCAATATTATGGCCACCAAGGAGCCCTAATTTAACACCATTTTTAAAAGGTCTATGCAGTTGAAATATTAAACAGAGACCAGTTAATCGAAAGGATACAAGACGCGGCAATAGAATTAAGAAACAACTTACTCGCGGTGAAATCAGAAAAAGGGCACAAGCTTGCATTAGAAATGATGGCGGACACTTTGAGAATTTTCTGTAGACCTTTATTTAGTAATATTTTAATAAATAAATGTTAACTTAACACTCTAGTATTTTACTTAATACTAATCGTGAATTGTTAGCGTAAACGTGTGTGTTTTACAAAGGTGACATTTTCTACCTAAAAATAATAGTTTTTATTGGCATATTATATATCATTCGAAAGGTAATACATTAAGAAAGTTTTTTAAACAATTTGCACGCAAAGTGTATAGTGAAATTAAAAAAAAAATCCTGATGAACTTAACAAGTCTTCCAAATTCGCGAATAAAATTTTATTTTATACTGTTGTTCTGAAGTGGCATGTACCAATGTATGGGCTAATTACTAAAAAAAGAATCGTTTAATTATCTTTAATTCTTATCGAGAAATTTTAAAAAATGTAATCCTGGACACGATTTTTTACCAAAATCACAAAAAATCAAATAACTCCAAAACTAATAACTTTTAGATAATGCAATATGGGGTTCAAACCAGGGACCCGGACCGAAATGAAATATCGGTTCCGGTACGGTTTTGGTTCCGATTCCGGTTTCGGTTTCGTGGAGTTATAACGGTTCGGTTCTTTTCGGTTTTTGTTTTACGTAATTTTAATCTATAACCTCACATATATATATATATGATATATCATATATATATATAATGTTATTAGAATGAAAGCAAATAAAGGTTTCGGTTCCGGTCCAACAGATTTTATCAAAAGCGAAAACGGTTCCGGTTCGGGTTTCGGTTCGGAAAAAAAACCGGTTCCGTTCCGGTTTTCGTTTTTTTTCGGTTTCGGTCCGGGTCCCTGGTTCAAACGACTCAAAATAATCTGTAGAATCCCTTAAATTAATGCACCTACTTCTGACTCACCCTGTATATAATGTTACACACTTCATTTACGCTTGCTGGCCTTAAGAATATTGTTTTGTGTTGCTCTTCTTCTGGAAATATACTAGTTGCTTTTATTTGTGATGCACCGTGGAAAAATATTTATTAAATTCGTTTGCCACATCAGTTCAATTGGAAATTTCTGCTCCCTCATTGATTCGAATCTGTTTTAGTGTGAACGCGAATTCAAAGATTATTTGAAAGACAAACTTATAACTGCCAAGGGGCAGTTCAAAGAACTGCTGCAGGAAACAAAAATGATATCTCATAAATCGTTGTCAAACTTGAGGGAAAATCAAAGTCATATGTCCGAGATTGAGGAGATTTTGAGGAACGATAAAAGGTACTTGGTTTTGGATCACATAACTCACGAAAGGACGCAGCTCATTTTAAACTACTTTGAGGAGTTGGATCGTAGAGGGCCCCCACCGCCGCCTACGGCGAGTGAGCCCAACAGGAGATCGATAAAATAAGTCAACTTTTAAATTGTTCAATTTTATTCATTGTATTGTATTAACCGATTCACTGTTGCAAAACTTTTATATGTATATTTCGTTTAAAACCAAGTTGTATGTCATATACAACAAATAAATTATCTAAGAGATATTTTTGCTTTATTTTATGTCCTTTTATAAACTATTAAGAAAGAGTAGGTAAGTATAATAATTATAATTATTAAATTTTTTAAGTAGGTACATTAGATCAATATAAGAACAATCCACACAACAAGGTTAGTTTTTTACCATTACCCTCAAATTAACTTAAAATTGACAGTTTGACGACTACCCTGAATATAGGGCTGCCAGATTTTCTAAATCAAAATGCGGGAGGTAAAAAAGATATAATTTTATTCAGACAAAATCATAAATTTATGTCGAACATAGAAGATTCTAACTTTTAATTAAAACTAATGGTTAAATTTAATTATAATTTAGATAATACCCAAGTAAAAAACATAATTTTTATAATTATTTATTCCAATTCCTCGTTATAAACATTAAACTTAACCATTTTGTTGTAGTAAAAACTTTATTAAAAAAACTGGAGAACACAAAATAATTCTAACAAAAGTTTAATAAACTAAAAAGCATAAATAAACAAAGGTACACCCTGTATATTGATAACCATTATAACCGTTATAACACTACTTTCATAATTTTTTCAAGATAGGAAATTTACAGCTGCGTTGTAATCATAAAATAATATATTTAGAAATAATTGATTGGGCTTCAGATTTCCTAATAGCCATAATACTTAGGTTAGATAAAAACGATCCAACATTGTATGCAATTGCTACTCAGAATTATCAGATGTTCCAGTAAACATTGTTCTTTATAATGGACAGGGGCGTACTGGTGTTAAAAAAGACCCCTTTCGCCACAACATAAAAAATATTGATTTTTAAAATATTTAATGAACTAAATATTCAAATATTTAAAGAATTTTTAACATTTTTAATAAATTATTTAAGTTAAATGGATACTTGTGATGTAGGTACGTCTCAAACCTAACCTCAAAAATATTATTATTATTTTGGCGCGTTTAGAGGATAAATTTTCGAAATCACCAAAGATTTTAAAATTTTAATAAACAAAATTAAGTTTTGTGAATGGCAAAAAGTTGATAATACGTTCCTTGAAATATAAAAAATATACCTACCTATATAAGACACAACTTGAACTATTGTAGATCATCTAGATTCTAGATATTCCAGATAATTCAATATGTTTTCTGTAATTTTAGTGTATTTTTTTATTCCAGTTGTAATACCAGCTATACGAAATGAATATGGTAATTAAATTATAATCTTATTTTAATTAAATTTTGTTTAAGTGTGGCAAAACTTCAAAACTGATAAAAACAATTGTTTTATATTAATATTTATTAAAATATACTTAATTAAGTATATTTTAATCAATATTGTTGTTTTTGTAGTATTAATACCATTTCAAGTACTGAACTTGATCTTCATATTAACCGAAGTATTTTGTTTGTTGTATTATATTTTAAGTGTGTGAAAACATATTTTTACATTTTAACTCTTAAAAATCCGCTTTAATTTTAATGACGTCAAATTTTTAAGAAATTTTAACCCAAAATTAGTGTGACATCCCAAGCAACAAGTATTTGTTACGTATATGGGACTTTTGAAGAAACTTAAAGTATTTTGCGACAGTCGCCGGTCTCTTTATATTACTCTTTCATTACTAAGTTACGACTAAAGTGGGAAACAATTATTGAGTTCCAAAAAGGTAGCAAATATGTCACTAGCTATAAACCCTGCTACTATTTGGAACGTAGTTGTTACGTTACTAGAACGTTTCAATATCGTTGCTAGAGCGTTATAATTACTTTTATTTATTTGTTTTTACTTCTAATTAACTTTCTTAGTTAAACTTATATTAGATTATACTATCCCTCCTTTTTATAATGGAACCACTACGGACTTGGCTTTTCAATGTCGTCGTTTATAAAACATGTAGGTACTGGTAGTATATAACTTCCAGAATAACAATATAATGTTTAATTAGGCAGGTAAATTTTACTGTTGAACTTATGAATTTAGTTTTTGTAAAATAAATGCGCTTCATCAATATTTAAGTATAAACAAATTATTTATTTAATAATGTTAAGAAATAAAAAAATCTTAATATTTATTATTAATTATTAATACCAACAAAATTACTATTTATTAAAAAGTAAACCATTTTCCTTTGAAGTAGTTTTCGCTACTTTAAAGTTTTTTTCTACCTTAATTTACTTTACGGTAGTTTTGGTTAGTACCATAAACATTTCAAATACTAAAATAATAACTTAAGTTATTAACTTTGTAGTTCCAGTTTCGAGATTTTAACTTGCAAAGAGACTACAAAGTAAAAATAATTATAATGTAATCTTTAGGTAGAAACCGAAAGTAACTGCTACAAATTAAATTTACTTGAAGTTTTTTTTACTTACTTATAACATCTTTTTTAAAGTAGCAAAGTCTTCTTGGGGGCAACCAAGTTTTACTTAAATGTTTACTACTTGATAGTAACCATTTAAGGAAAGAATGAAGTTTCTGTTACAAATATTCCTATTTAAAAGTTAATTACTTTTAAGTAAAAATTAAAGCTGTTTAGTATACTTAACTAATTTAAAGTTATCAACTCATTTTTGATGCTCAAAAGCAAATACTTACATTTGCGGAGCAGGGGACTGTATATTTATTACACAACCAATTGGAACAGTTATATTAAAAGTATGCTTATTTATATTTTTAGGATGCTTTATCTCTGTAAACAGAAATATTAACGAACCACAGCCCCTTATTTTGAACAAAGCTGGCACCAGCATATTGGAACCCAAAATTGAGCCGGATATAATTGAAATTCCGGAAGGCGGGAAATTTAAATTGGCCTGCGTTGGAAACCACCTATTTGCCGACGGTAAAACGTATTCGGAAATAGAAACTGTAACATGCAGATCGGGGTTATTTTCCATCCAAAACGATCTGTACAATTTTGGACAAATAACCTGCGAATATTACCCGGAGAATATTGCGCGTTATTCCGGATTTTTTTGTGGGGGGAATTACCGAGAAATCGAAATAGGGTTTCAGTTACCAAAACGGTTTTTAAGACTGGTTGGAATCTGTTTTGATCCTCTCGTTCAAACGACGTTGTACTCGAAATATCTTCTCACTTCATCTATTTACGGTCGCCAACATAACTTCTCGAGGCCATCTTGGATAGAGGACGATTTTTACCATTTTGGAGAAGACACAGTTAACATGATTTACTCGCAAAAAAGGCAATTGCAGACTATAAACAGTCTTTTGGGACTGGATCCAGAATCCAAGGAAATCGTGGATACATCTACCAAACATTATCTAGCCAGAGGGCATCTGACAGCAAAGGCAGACTTTATTTTTGGAATTCAGCAGCAAGTCACTTTTCATTTGGTCAACGTTGCCCCGCAATGGGAGATTTTTAATGAAAACAACTGGCTGGCTGTGGAAAATGATGTCAGGAACTATGCCATCGATAGGAACGCTACACTTGAGGTTTATACAGGTAATAAAGTTTGAATACTAAATCTTAAAGTTTTATCAGAACTGCATTGAATCGTGCTTTGTTTTTATATTTTTCGTATATAGTTTTTTTTCAAGCATAAAATAATTTTCATATTAATATATTAATAGTATATTAGTTCAAAAGTCAAATTACGACCTCTATACGTTGGAGTGTTTCAATTCTGGAAAATATCGGCAAAACCTCAAAATTGACATTTTTTTCAGGTAAATTTTGAGTTAGAAGGGTAGTTAATACCTGTGTCTATCCTGTATTGAAAAAAAATTATATAAAATACGTAGGTATATTTTGTCTTGTACATCAGTTTAAACTTGACGCTTTCAGTTGAAGCGTCGCTGCGAAAAATTGTTTATTGTTTAAAAGTGAATAACTTGTGTTTGGGGTGTCCGATTGTTATGCGGTTTGATGAAGGGTGATCTTCAAAGTATCTAAAATTCAGATATGTATTTGTTTATCGTAGATTTTGCTTGTACAACGGGTTACTGTAACCGACAAGATCGGTCTGTTAAAATCGCAAACTTTGAATCGAGCTTTTAGAACAATGGAGCTACAAAAATTGTAATGAATTGTAAGGCATCAGTTCAAGATCCGTTGAATAACTTAGAGTTTTGTCTATCAAGCCATCAATAAATTAGCTGCCCCAACTTGCCCCCGGCTCTTTAAAACCACATGTTCTTGGGCGCTCAGGTACGGTTGTGGTAAAAAACCTCGCGATTTTAAGCCTATGTCGAGCGCGTATCTGTGTTTTTGCTTTACAAAATATAAAATTTTTTGTTATTTCTGGGTTGCATTCATGACGTTTACTTGATTCAATCGGATTTAACTCAAAACGTTTATTACAACAGACTTTCACTTGCGAAAATCGTTCGTGACTACTAAGATATTTAACACCGATTTTACATATTTAACCCACCTCTTGTAGGTGCGTTAAAACAACTCCGCATGCGCATTGTAGTGTGTTAATGTCAAATTTGAATTGTGGATATTTGTGTTGACAATTTTTTTAGCGAATTAAGAAATCGTTGCTAAAATATTAAGTAAAAGAAATAATACAAATTTAAAATACTTAGTATAAAATCTGTTATATTTAAATTTTATAAATAAATTTTGAAAGTTTCTCGAGAGAAAACGATGGAAGATGTTTTCCATTCGCTTATGGCATCTTCCGATCCGTATATTTCTAGCTTCCGAAAATTTGCTCCGAAAAAGAGCAAATCTTTGTCCCGCGAAGCAATAAAACTGTTGCTATCTTCTGATGGTTTCCCATGCTCTGCTAATGATACAACGAGCGAATCCAGTGACCGAGATTGTTTAATATATATGTAGGTATTAAATAATATCATATAAATGTAGTTATAATAAACTAAATTAAGCTATTTTATAATAAGATGTTTTATTACATTTTAAAAAGAACCTCTTTTTTTAATTAATTTCGACAATATTTGATAAAAATGTCCGCCATTTGAGGTCTACCATTTTGATTTTGGAATTCTGATTCCAGATTCGTTATCAGCGACCCCAAAAACCCTGTGGTGATTTTCAATTTATTCCGTCAATTTTTTGACAAATATGTCCGCCATTTTGGATCTACCATTTTGAATTTTGGAATTCTGATTCCAGATTCTTTATCAGCAACCCCAAAAACCTCTTTATACGGATTTTTAGGAGATATTTGCCGAAAATTTCGAGAATTGAAACACTGTGACGCGTCATCCAATACACTTCTATATTTTTCCGTTTGCTGTGTAGATAACTATCTTTATCTCAAAATATTTGTCCTTCATTCATTATTATTATTACCTATTGTATGCCTTCTAAAATTTACCCTGAATTATGGTTTAGGTCCAATAAAATGCTTTATTGTAGGAACTTACGGTGTTATGACATTACCTCACTCCAAAACTGGAGAACAAATAGAAGTCTATTTATACAACGAAGGAGAAGAGGTTGGCTTGCCTGTGCCTCTTTTATACTGGAAAGCCGTATATAATCGAAAAACAAAGTCTGGAGTAGTAGTTATAGGAGTTAACAATCCTTACATAGATGATGTTTCTGATGCTATAATTTGTGAAGATATTTCCAAAAGTATATCCTGGGGTTCATGGAGTAAAAAAGATTTTGTGAACGGATATATTTATGTTTGTACCTTGGAAGATTTTGCTGAGAAAGTTCCATACTTTCCGAAATTGGATGTTAGGGGTACTTTAACGTAGTTATGTAAATATATCATGATAAGAATAAAGATATGTATTTGAAGTGGTAGGTTTTTATATAAATTGTAAAAATGTTGTTTTTATTTTCATTGTCGATACTAATTTGTGGTAAAATAAAAAATGTTTGTACAAGTTTTAATTTTAACTAGTTTTATTTATGTTTCGAATTGTGGTGTTGTGAACCTGGAAGCCAGTGGTACGTTAGATACTAGGTACTATTACAATACTAGATAAATAAAAAAAATATTTTAGGATGTACAATTGTAATTGATCCTGACAATCATGATCCTGTAGTTGTATCCGCTGATTCACTGGAACCTTTATATCCAGAAACACCAAATCTGGATATAGCAGTTAAAAAAGGATCAACCGTATTGGTGGGATGTCCTGGTGGTACTTTAACGTATGGCAATGAAAAAGCAAAACTTATTGAGGCCACATGCGTTACAGCCAGCACTTTTACTGTAAACGGTACCAAGACTTCCCTAAAATCGCTTCACTGCAGTAAAGTAACGAAAAACACTGCCAGATTCACGAATAAAACTTGCGAACTGGACGGTCAAGAAATCGAAATCGGGTTTTCACTGGATAAAAGTAGATTCGTGCGGTTGATGAGATTATGTTGGGACGATACTTTAAAATCATCCTGGTACTCCCAGTACTCCTTGACGTCGAAAATAGGCAACTATCAGGTGGGTGCTGCAAGACCAGCGTTTATCGAAGACAAGTTCTACAATCTTGATGTGAAAGTAAACGATTTGTATTCGAGAGATTCGCAACGTTCTGTTATGAACAAACTGTTGGGATTGGAAGAGTCTTCAATGAAATACGTCGCAAAAACTTCGGATTACTATCTAGCTCGAGGTCATTTCACGGCGAAAACGGATTTCGTATTTGCGAGTCAGCAAAGAGCCACATTTCATCTTATTAACAGTGCCCCGCAGTGGCAGACTTTGAATGCCGCAAACTGGTTGTCCATCGAGGACAGCGTCAGGGATTACGCCAGTGACAAGAACCTGGACTTGGAGGTTTATACAGGAGGACACGACGTAATGACTTTACCGCACGAGGAGACTGGCGAACAAACGAAACTTTATTTGTACGTCGATAAAAATAACAATCCGCTTTTGCCCATCCCACGGTTGTATTGGAAGTTGGTCTTTAATCCCGAAAATGGAGGAAATATCGTTTTTATTTCGGAAAATAATCCTTACAACGAGGATGTTAAGCCCATTTGTGAGGATGTGTCCAGTAAAATCGACTGGATAACCTGGAAGCAGGATAATATGAAGGGGGGGTATTCATATGCTTGTCTTGCTGAGGAAGCAAAGAAAGTAATAACTCAAATACCCGAGATGGACTTTGGGGATATTTTAATATAAAATGTATTAAAAATAAAATGTAAATAAAATGTTATTTTAATTGTGTCTATTCAATCATCCTGGTTAATCTCAAGGAGCATTTTTAGTCGATAAACATATTGGCCACTAATACTGGGAACTGTAAAGTGTATTGACAAAATCTTGGCCACGTGGTAGAAACGGTTCTATTACGTGGAAGTGACTAAACACTTTTTTATTGTCAGTTCCCAGCAAACATAACCGTATAATGGCCCTTTATAAACGTGCCTTTGATGAACTACAGGCCCTATAACGCTAATGGAATTTTACATTATGTCGCGTTCACCTTTAATGGGCATGTAACGGCCTAGTAATTGAAATCGGATTTTTACTGGATAACAGTAGGTTTGTAAGGTTAATACGATTATGCTTGTATGATAATTTATAATGATCTTGGTGCCAGTATACCTTAACGTCGAAAATAGGGAACTCCAAAACCGGAGAATGCTAACAAATAGAAATTTATATGATTTATACAACGAAGGAGAAGAGGTTGACTTGCCTGTGCCTCTTTTATACTGGAAAGCTGTATTTAATCTAAAAACAAAAACTGAAGTAGTAGTTACAGAAGTTAACAATCCTAACATAGATAATACTTTTGATGCTATAAGTTGTGACGATATATTTAAAAGTATATCCTGGGGTACATGAAGTAACAAATATTTTGTTAACGGATATATTTGTGTTTGTACCATGCATAGTGGATTTTTTAAATGTAATTTAATGTATACATGTCTATAGACATGTATAGCAATAAAATGATAAGAATAAAGATATGTAAATAAAGTAGTAAATTGTAAAAATGTTGTTGTTTATTTTACTTTTCGATAAAAAAATTTAAAACAATAAAAAATGTTTGTACAAGTTTTAATTTTAACTAGTTTTATTTATGTTTCGAATTGTGGTGTTGTGAACCTGGAAGCCAGTGGTACGTTAGATGTACCTACTATTACTATTAAATACTTGATAATTAATAAAATAAATAATACTTTAGGTTGTACAATTGTAATTGATCCTGAAAAATATGATCCTGTAGTTGTATCAGCTGATTCACTAAAACCTTTGTATCCAGACACACCCAATCTGGATATAGCAATTTAAAACGGATCAACCATATTGGTGGGATGTCCTGGTGGTACTTTAACGTATGGCAATGAAAAAGCCAAACTTATTGAAGCCACATGCGTTACAGCCAGCACTTTTACTGTAAACGGTACCAAGACTTCCCTAAAATCGCTTCACTGCAGTAAAGTAACGAAAAACACTGCCAGATTCACGAATAAAACTTGCGAACTGGACGGCCAAGAAATCGAAATCGGGTTTTCACTGGATAAAAGTAGATTCGTGCGGTTGATGAGATTATGTTGGGATGATACTTTAAAATCATCCTGGTACTCCCAGTACACCTTGACGTCGAAAATAGGCAACTATCAGGTGGGTGCTGCAAGACCAGCGTTTATCGAAGACAAGTTCTACAATCTTGATGTAAAAGTAAACGACTTGTATTCGAGGGATTCGCAGCGTTCAGTTATGAACAAACTGTTGGGATTGGAAGAGTCTTCAATGAAATACGTCGCAAAAACTTCGGATTACTATCTAGCTCGAGGTCATTTTACGGCGAAAACGGATTTCGTATTTGCGAGTCAGCAAAGAGCCACATTTCATCTTATTAACAGTGCCCCGCAGTGGCAGACTTTGAATGCCGCAAACTGGTTGTCAATCGAGGACAGCGTCAGGGATTACGCCAGTGACAACAACCTGGACTTGGAGGTTTATACAGGAGGACACGACGTAATGACTTTACCGCACGAGGAGACTGGGGAGCAAACGAAACTGTATTTGTACGTTGATAAAAATAACAATCCGCTTTTGCCCATCCCACGGTTGTATTGGAAGTTGGTCTTCAATCCCGAAAATGGAGGAAATATCGTTTTTATTTCGGAAAATAATCCTTACAACGAGGATGTCAAGCCCATTTGTGAGGATGTGTCCAGTAAAATCGACTGGATAACCTGGAAGCAGGATAATATGAAGGGGGGGTATTCATATGCTTGTCTTGCTGAGGAAGCAAAGAAAATAATAACTCAAATACCCGAGATGGACTTTGGGGATATTTTAATATAAAATGTATTAAAAATAAAATGTAAATATAAAGTTATTTTAATTGTTTTTATTCAATCATCCTGGTTAATCTCAAGGAGCATTTTTAGTTGATAAACATATTGGCCACTTATACTGGAAACTGTAAAGTGTATTGACAAAATCTTGGCCACGTGGTAGAAACGGTTCTATTACGTGGAAGTGTCTACACACTTTTTTATTGTCAGTTCCCAGCAAACATAACCGTTAAATGGCCCTTTATAAATGCCTTTGATGAACTAAAGGCCCTATAACGCTAATGGAACTGTACATTATGTCGCGTTCACCTTTAATGGGCATGTAACGGCCTAGTAATTGAAATCGGATTTTTACTGGATAAATTAGGTTTGTGAGGTAAATACGATTATGCTTGTATGATAATTTATAATGATCTTGGTACCAGTATACCTTAACGTCGAAAATAGGGAACTCCAAAACTGGAGAATGTTAACAAATAGAAATTTATATGATTTATACAACGAAGGAGAAGAGGTTGACTTGCCTGTGCCTCTTTTATACTGGAAAGCTATAGGTATTTAATTAAAAAACAAAAACTGAAGTTGTAGTTATAGAAGTTATCAATCCTAACATAGAAGATATTTTTGATGCTATAAGTTGTGACGATATATCCAAAAGTATATCCTGGGGTACATGAAGTAGTAAATATTTTGTGAACGGATATATTTGTGTTTGTACCATAGTGGATTTTTTTGAGAAAGTGCCATCCTTTCCGAAATTGGATGTTATGGGTACTTAAATGTAGAAATGTATAGCAATAACACGATAATAATAAAGATATGTAAATGATGTAATAGGTTTTCTTATAAATTGTAAAAATATTGTATCTTGGAAACATAAGTAACTAGGAAAAATATTTATTTAGGTTTTCGTCTTATTTTGACTTGCTCAATCTTTTCCTAAATTTATGCCAATAAGTTTAGGGACACCTTGTATAGAGAAGAAATTGTGCTATGGAGGTGATCTCCGTATCTGACTAAAATAAAATTGCACAGAACTCAAAGTAGAAAAATGTATTACCTTGAATAAACATGGGTTAATACAACGCAGAAATGCCTTTTTAGATGGACTTCATCCCAGATTAAGAAATAGCCCAGGAAAAGGAAAATGGCTAATCGTCTGACCTATTGACAATGGAAAAGGAGCTGTTGATGATAAAAAAATCCTTTTTTGCCCATCCCTCTGTTATACTGGAAGTTGGTATGCAATTTCGAAAATTGATGAAATATTCCTTAATAATTTAGATTACCCCGCAAAGTGTAAATCATAAAGGTAGCCTTGATTTTCTTGTCAAAAATTGACACAATTAATTATAAGAATCATTTTATATAATTGAAAATGGACTTTTTAAAGAAAAGCCATAAAAACTAGAAAATATTGACAAAAGTAATTTGGAAAACAACGGTATAGAATTGGAGCAGCCTTATTGCATCTAAAATGCAGTCTTGTTTGTAAAGCTGGACTTTCCCGCATGTTTAAAGTAAGATAAAATATAAAGAGACGACGGATGGGATGGACTTAAAGGATAAAAGAATTGAAAAAGAAAGACTTGAATATTGACGCCGTTTTAAATGACAGAAGCTTGCAGTGAAATTACATTCTAAGTTTCACGAGGGACAGCCGTTGGGTTTTATAAAAAATTATTACGGTATGCTATACCGTAATAATTTTTTATAAAATCCAACGGCTGTCCCTAACGGGTGCCTATATAAAATAGAGATTGCCTTCTATTTCGCATCCTGTGGGACAAAGTGGTTTGTATTGAGTATGTTGGATATAAAGTTATCAAACGATGCATTTCCATGGAAATTATCACATATTTCATGACATTTAGTTTTAACTTCGTTGTGCTACAGGAACAAACGGGTGCGAAATACTTCATTTTTATAAAGACTGTATTAACTGATTAACTGTATTAAGTAGTCCTTTAAATCAAAGCATACAATTTTGTTAAAATATAAAAAATACCAATAAATGTTTATAACTTAGTGTCATTTTTATTAACTCTCTTTGTAGAATGTATTCATCTGAATTTGTTATAACCCCAGTAGCACAAAATATTGGTCCCATATGGGGCGCGTCTACACAGTAAAAAAAAATCAACTCTAAGCAACACTAATTAGAGTTCACACAGGTTTTATAAAACTACAATTAGAGTTAATTTGTAGTATAATTTTCCCCAAGTAAGCAAGTATGATTTAACACTTTAGCACTGAGGATAAAGTAATTTTACACTGTATTAAAAAGTGTTAATTTACCTAAAATCGTGTACTTCTACACTTCCTGGGTAAAATCCCACTTATGTTCAGTGTAAATTAACACTACTTCGGAAAAGGTACTTTTACTCTTTTAGTGCAAACTTCCAGTGTAAATTAACACTATTATTTGAGTAAAACCTATTGGTGGTAGTGAATAAAACGAAAAGGTAAATAAAGAGAAACATTTATTTGGAACAAAAATCTATGACAATTATCAAAATCGGTGCCTTTTAAAATATAATTTTATATTTGAGTCGTATATAATAATACCATTTTGCTTAAGCCAGCCTTAAGCAAAATGGTTCCTTAAAACGTAAAAGTTTTAGATCAATGCAATGTTTTACTGGCTGTCAACTTATAAGCAATGAATTATGTTGAGAATTCATCAGTAATCCATTTTTCTGTTATAAAAAATGGGTGATCCCATTGGTAGAGAGGCGTCAGGCAGCTGTATGTTGGGGATTTACCACACGTGTACAAATTTTCCATAATATTAATAAAAATGTAGGTATAGGTTAATATAACACCATTAAGCTTGAAAATAAAAAGTAAATCAAGTGTTTATGTATTTATATTATTAATGTTAGAAGTACCCGACCTACTGCCGTAAATTATTGATATATAATATAGGTCGGGTATGGACATCCTTTTAACATATTGGTATTTATTGAGTATTAAGGCTTAAGGAAAAAGGAAGTACAATACTTACCAAAAAATAAGAATGTCCTCTTATGGACTCACCGTAATTAAAATCTATAGATTTATAAGAGTTATAGAGTTATAACTGAACAAAAATGTCACACTTCCACAACGCGGTATCCACTGCGTAGGTAGATAGGTACCAACCAAACGGTATTTTAAAACGCATTTCGGTTATTACAATTTTTTTCAGTCTATTTTGCCACTATTAGTGTAATTTAACTTTAATTGTGTAATAGTAGTGTAAAGAAAAAAGAGCTCTTAGTAACATCAAAACAGACAAAGAATAGCTTTGATTGCATTTAATGTAGCCATTCATTAGAAACAATAACTTTATTTATGCCAATGATAGTTTTTTATTAGGATTCATTGTGACTTCAATTAAATAAAAAATTAATTCAATAATTTCTTATGTTTTAACTAACTAAGTAATACTTAGTAAGTATTAATACGGATTTAATAGAATCACAATTTAATTCAATGATTTCTTATGTTTGAACTAATTTTAAGCAGGTTTGCACAAATAAAAGTAAGACAATCATTCATTTGATCAAAGCTGTAATTCAGGTATTGCAAATACAGTACACCATTGGCTCAATGGTTAATCCATTCACAATATAAAAGCTTTTTCTCTGTGATATTTTACCTAAACATAGCTCGAGATTCTCGACTCGAGAAATGCTAGATTGAAGTCATTCCCCAATTTCCTGACTTAAAGTTTGGCGATATTTTAAATTGATCTGTAGGTATAACTCTTAAATAATAAAATTGTTTGTTAAGATTAATGTTCTATTTATTTTAACACAAATAAACTTACAAGGGAATATTAATACTAGTTTCATTATTTGTTGATAGACAGGAGAGATCTTTAACTTCATCGGTTATCCCATTTGGTGACGAAGACATTGAATTAGTCAAATCATTGATTGTAATCGATATATCTGCAATTAAACAAGTTTACATTTATGTTATTTTAATCCAAAGACAATTATTTTCGGTAGGAGTGCGGAACATCTTAATTACCTTACCAATGAAAGTACATTGTTCTAGTTTATTTAAAAATAGAGTCGCTGCGGCATATTGCCATTTAATTATTTAAGAGGTACTTTGTACGGAAGCTATTAAATAATGTTTTAATATTATTTATATTTTATCAACAAATTTCGTCACATCTTCGAAGATCTGAAAGTACCAATTGGTTTGTGTGGAAATTTGATTTTATGAACGACTTTGAAAGTAAAAGTTTGAGACCAAAAACCTGAAAAATAAACCTCACTTTAATGATAAAATGGACTTCGAACAATGACACGACCGTCCTTTACTTTGGAAAAAGTATTCAACAAAAAGTAATGCTAAATTCAACCTTCCCCTTTTAGCAGTTGGCAATCGAACTGTGCATCTGTTTGCAAGCGTTAACAGTTCAGAATTAAAAGTTTAATCGATTTATAAACAATGATTGTTTATCAATATAAAACAGTGCAAGTGGCAATGATATGTTTAGGTGGTTATTAGTTTTCTGGAGATGTGGCTGTTTGAAAGGTAAGAATGTCTGTTTTTTGGTATATATTTTGCCATACCAACTAGTTAATATCTAGTGTTTGTTGAACAAAGAAAAGCTTTTAAAATTTTACTGCCTTAAGCTTAATTTTCATGTATCCGTTTGTCCTTTATACGTTTGTACGTTTTTCAATAAAATCGTCCGATAAGAAATATTCTAATTTTCATGCATCCGTGTTAATTGAATGTCGTTGGATTATTTTAATTCTAGTTATTATTTGCAAGTTGTACTCTTACAATATTATAATTCAGTGTTAGTTTAATATCCAGTCAGAGAAAGCAAAGATAATAGGATAAATAATATACTGGAAAGAGACGAGGATAGAAAGTAAAGATTAGTAAAGTTACGATAAAGTTTTGGCCACTATACCTCAACGTTATAGTAACGTTATCACAACGTGGTATTAACGTGTCTGTATACAATTCAAGAACGTTGTCGGAACGTAACTGACACTAAAAAAGTTTTCCCCATTTAAGTCACTTCCACGTAATAGAACCGTTTCTACCACGTGGCAGAGATTTTGGCAATATACAGTTCCAAGTATAAGTGGCCAACACGTTTTAACCACTATAAATGCTACTTTCTCTGCAGAGCAATATTGTTGTCGACAAAATACCATTTAACTAAACACTTACTGTCCTCGATGATGGTCTCCGGAATAGTTTCGTTCGCTTTAACGATAACCGATTGCTTTTTAACAACTTCGACAGGTTTTTCGGCGACAACTTTTGCCACTTCGTTTTTATCCTTCTGCTGACTGCTCACGCACTTGGAGTTTCCCGCGTTGGTGCTCTGGTAGGGGTGCGATCTGGTCTGGGAAAACTTCTGATACAAGTTCTGCCTCCTGTTGTACATCACTTTGCATCGTTTGGCGTAAAGCAGTTTGTCCACGGCGCAAAAAAAATCGTTCTTGCACAGCGTCAACACCGTGTGCAACGTCGCAGGATGCGTGTCAGGAAACAGTTGCATCAGCCGGAGAAAGTAGAAGAACTGGCTGGAGGACTGCTGCATCGACGGGCAGTTTTTGTCGTGGGTTCTCAACTCCATTTGAACCGGCTGAAAGACGATTTTCGGGTTAGTTCGCTTATTACACTCACAGCAAACAGAAAAATTTAGAACTGTATAAAATGAACACTAAATCTTAAAGTTTAATGAGAACTGTATTGAAGATACATTATTTTGATTTTCTATATTCAACAGAGAGGTAGAAACTCGACCCTGTCGAATGGTGCAATCATTTAATCAAGCTATTCGAATTTTACTGGCAATGATTTTCGTTAATGTCCCCGAGAATTATACAAAAACATCGCAATGCAATATCGCAACGGTTTAGACTTCTCTTTACTCTACCAAGTTATAGAAACTGGAGTCTCTCTAATACTGTTCTAGTCAATATTTCTGAGAGTATAAAAAGAGGGTGTAATTCAATATTGCAAGAAGTTTTGATCTTTTGATGAGTGGAAGTAGTTTGAATATTCTCATTTCTGCATATGATTTTGTTGAAAATAGTTCCTTTCTTTGGTTCCTTTGTCTGATTTTTTATTTACCGTAACAACTCAGGTATGTAAAGCACAGAGGATATGTTGTCATAAAATTTTCTTTAAAATGTCGGTATATATGCCCCCGAAGTATGATAAAAACTTAAGCTGTTTTCATTGTTTACTTTGTCTGTGGCAGCCGCTAAGGTTACACGTGTTTTATGAGCTCGGCGATTTTTCGTTCGTTAAAAGAAATGGATCAAAGAATTTGTATCCAATTTTGCTTAAAAATAAAATAAATTCTGTGACATGTTAACAAAGGCCTATAGTGAGTCTGCTATAAGTAAAACAAGAGTTTACAAGTGGTATAAGAGTTTCCAAGATGGCCGTGAAGACGTTGAAGATGACGAACGCCCCGAACGCACAAGCGCATTAACAACCGATAAAAACATGGAAAAAGTGGAAGAAATGGTTATAAACCATCAGAGAAGTCGCTGATGATGTTGGTATATCGATTGGCTCATCCTATGAAATTTTTTCGAATGTTTTGGGTATGAAACGCGTGGCAGCAAAATTTGTTATAAAATTGTTAAATTTTGAACAACATTTTTGGCCAAAAACAATACTGTAATGATGCCACAGCCTTCATATTCGCCAGACATGCCTCTGTCTGACTTTTTCCTATTCCCAAAAATAAAGAAAAACTTAAAGGGCCGTCGTTTTGCAAGCATAGAAGACATTAAAAGCGCATCGCTGAAAGAACTAAAAGATATCCCATGGGATAGCCTTTGCAAAGATCGAGTTTAACGTAATTTAACTTTTGTACTGGTATTAATATGAAAATTATTTTATGCTTGAAAAAAACTATATACGACATGATTGTGATTGTTTTCATTTTATTAATTAATTAAGCTGTGTTGAATATTTTTCCTAAAGGAATAATTGCCAATGGGCCATTAATTCATTTGTTCGTAGATGCTACAATAACCTGCACTGGTGTGTACTTTTTGATCAACCAGATTTAAATATTGCTGTACTAACATATACCAGTGGAGATAGTGCAGGGTCTACCAACAGACTTCATTACTAAATTATTAAAGTTTAATAGCATATCGAACGTTTTTTCAAAATAACCTCTGAAATGTTTAATACAAATATAGGTACTTTATATAATACATAAATATACTTTACATCATATCATCTGTGCTTTACATACCTGAGTTGTTACGGTAAATAAAAATCAGACAAAGGAACCAAAGAAAGGAACTGTTTTCAACAAAATCATATGCAGAAATGAGAATATTCAAAATACTTGCATCCATCAAAAGATCAAAACTTCTTGCAATATTGAATTACACCCTCATTTTATTCTCTCAGAAATATTGACCAGAACAGTATTAGAGAGACTCCAGTTTCTATAACTTGGTAGAGTAAAGAGAAGTCGAAACCGTTGCGATATTGCATTGCGCTGTTTTTTATAATTCTCGGGGACATTAACGAAAATCATTGCCAGTAAAATTCCAAAAGCTTGAGTTTCTATGTCTTTGAAGAGAATAAGAATTTGAAGTTGCTGCACCATTGGACTGCCCCCTTTTTCAATAATTTCTAAAGACATAAATGACTGCACCATTCGACAGGGTCGAGTTTCTACCTCTCTGTTGAATATAGAAAATCAAAATAATGTATCTTGTAATAGAGCCGAAAAATGTATAAACAAAGCACGATTCAATACAGTTCTGATAAAACTTTAAGATTTAGTATCCAAACGGGGAGTCATCCTATACACTTCCATATTTTTCCTTTTGCTGTGTAGTACACGCTTAACGAACCAATTGGTTATTTATATTCAAATTTATTTCGGGTATTTCTTTGGCTCTATTTTTATTCGGAGTAGAAGGATAAGGTTGAGTCGTGATCCAAGGACATTTTATCGGCTGCTTTTGAAAAGTTGCGTTAGTTTTAGTTTGTTCCATTTAAATACACAAAAATATATATTATTGGAAGTATTATTGAAGTAAACAAACTTTTGTTTGTGATTGTTAGAATTTAGTCTTTAATATATCGCAACCCAGTAAAATATTGTCGAAACTCAAAATTAGTAGTTTGGATTAATTCAATTTGTATTGCGAAGCTTCAAATTGGTTTATTGAAATAGTTTTAATGAGTTTGATCAACGCCAAATTTTTACTGGGAGAATGATATTTATCTATATTATCAATTGCTATGGTTTAACTTACTCTTTAATACTGCAACAATATTTTTCCAACAATATAAATGATTATATTTGCTAACTTTGCTAATTATTCTTATTTGTGGTTTGATCAGAAACGTCACTTGTATAATCTGTCAAAATAAACAACAATTTACATTTGACATATGCTTATTTTGCCTACTTTGGTTTTATAATCTGTGGTTTTATTTATTATTTATATATAGACTTAAAAATCGAACAAATTTTGGACATTTGTTTGCAAGTGATGCCAGAATATTTTTTTAACCTTGTTTCTACATCTGTATCATAGATAACAAAGCCTGTATGATGCATTTTTTTCAACAAAAAAAATGTTTATCCATTGATCTCTGCAGCGCGCTGTGTTAAAAATAGATTAATTTCGATATTTTCTAATAACATTTTTATTTAAAAACGTATCGATTTGAAATTAAGATAAAATGTGGACCTTATTAATGGCAATAAATCCACGTATTATTTATTTTTTATTTTTGGGACAATTTTATTTAAAAATTTTCCATTTTTTAAGGGTTACACAATCGAAGAGAAGCAACGTTGTTTTATAATTTTGAGTATATATATATATCACGTTAAAGTAATGATAATTAACTATTATTTGATATACAGTGTGGAACTCACTTATGGAATAAAATTCGTTATTCGTTGAGAAAAGATTTTTATGAAAAACGCACGGACACGTTAACTTTAGTTTTTTATTCCAAATCTTATAATGATAATTTTAAATTTTATGCTCCCACCATTTCCCCCCCGTACATTAGGCACCGTTATCTTAAATAACAACCCTACTTTTTTTCATCGAAAATTGATAGTGCACATTGTTTTGAGTATGACGATACCATATAAGTAGGGTTTAGTAAACAGTTTTCAATACAGAGTGGAAATATAATGACGATGATAATGATAAAAAACTTAACTTTTTATCTTAAAATTAATTAAAAATTCAAAAATAAACTGTTCTTCAATCTTATAAATGTTCAAAATGTCCCCCGTCCACTTCCTGACACTTTAGTAATCTACTGTGAAATTGTTCCCGCCCTCTGTTTAAAACCTCCGGTGTTATGTTACTAATTTCTCCAGTAATTCTGTTTCTTAATTCATCTAAATTAGCAGGTTGTGTTTTAAACACTCTTTTTTTAGATATCCCCATAGAAGTCTAGAGGTGTTAGATCCGGTGATCTTACTGGCCATTCTATAAAACCTCTTCTTCCGATCCACCTGTGTGGAAAGGTGTCATTTAAATAATTCCGTACAGGAAGAGCATAGTGGGGTGGGGCACCGTCTTGTTAAAGCCATATCCTTTCATTGGGAAGATTAGGTTCCAATGGATTTGGAAACAACTCTGCTAAAGTTGGGACAACTTGTTCTCTTAGCATATCCAGATATCTTGCCCCGTTAAGATTTTCAGAAAATAGGTCCCACCACATGATCACCAACAATACCAGCCCAAACGTTGATTTTTTGAGGACGTTGGGTATGACTTTGTCGCATCCAGTGGGGATTTTCTTCTACCCAGTACCTGCAATTTTGTCTATTTACCTCGCCATTTAATAGAAATGTTGATTTATCAGTAAAAAGAATATCTGCAGAAGAAATAACATTCCTGTTTAACATATGCAGAATTTGCTCGCAAAATTGTAATCTTCTATCAGAATCACCATCAATCAATTCTTGTACGTGTTGTAGTTTATATGGATGCATTTTTTCGGCTTTTATAAAAGCCGAAAAAATGCATCCATATATACACATCTTAAAAAGGTCGAATGACTAACGTCGTTTTCACGTGCAACCTGACGCGTAGAAGTTGTTGGATCTTCTTGAAAAGCTAATAAAATATTAACTTTCACATTTTCATCAATAAAATGAGGCGTCCTGCTTAATGGTTTAACGTGTCCATATTCACGAAATTGTGCATGTATTTTAGACACAGTTGCCTAAGAAAGTGGTGGTAAATCTGGGTATTTTCCATTAAAAAGGTTTGCAACTTAAAATATTAACTGATACTTGGATCTAACAAAATACTTCAATAAGTAAAGCGCAAAATGTTTCATTAATAATAAAAATTTAAACAATGCAAAAAATGTAAACAATGCAAAAAGGACAAACGCAAAAAATTGCATTAACAAAAAACAATAACAAAGCGAAAAAACATGAATATCTAAATAGCGAAAGCCACAACACAAGAAAATAAATCATAGAATAACAATAAAAAATTCATACTTGTAATTTTTAAATATTCACCCTTTATTGAAAATTAGGGTTACTAAACCCTACTTATGTGGTATCGTCGTACTCAAAAAAATGTGCACTATCAGTTTTCGATGAAAAAAAGTGGGGTTGATATTTAAGATAAGGGTACCTAATGTGCGGGGGGGAAATGGTGGTGGCATAAAATTTAAAATTATCATTATAAGATTTGGAATAAAAAACTAAAGTTTACTTGTCCGAGCGATTTTCATAAAAATCTTTTCTCAACGAATAACGAATTTTATTCCATAAGTGAGTTCCACACTGTATAAACTTCTAAATATATATGCAAATTATGTTTCTACAAGAGACATCCTTTTTAAGTTATACCTTCAAAGGGCATAATGTTTTACAAAGTATACTATGCATTATATATTACATATAATATTATATAGTAGATATATTTGTATACCATACAATTCTTACATATAAATTTAAAAAAAATCAAATATACTAATTTTGATCATAGTAGGCGTCATAGACTTTTCTCTATGGTAACCTACCATTGGAAGCATGAAAGATAATATGACAGTTCAGTTTATAAGTTGCAAATGACTGATTGCATTTCAGTTTATAACTCAAAACATTAATTTATTAATTATTAAAATAAATAAACTAAATAATTATTAAGTATAGACAGGCGAATATGGAGGCTGGGGCATCATTACAATATTGTTTTTGGCCAAAAATCTTGTTCAAAATTTAACAATTTTAGAACAAATTTTGCTGCCACGCGTTTCATACCCAAAACATTCGAAAAAATTTCATGGGATGAGCCAATCGATATACCAACATCATCAGCGACTTCTCTGATGGTTTATAACCATTTCTTCCACTTTTTTCATGTTTTTATCGGTTGTTAATGTGCTTGTGTGTTCATCGTCAACGTCTTCACGGCCATCTTGGAAACTCTTAAAAATTGTTAAATTTTAAATTAAATTATCACCTGTACGTTAAAATCTAAACAATATTTTTTTATGGATTAATTGTCATTAGTAAGATCTACATTTTGTCCAAATTTCAAATCGATACGTTTTGAAATAAAAAAGTTATTAAAAAATGAAATTTTTTCATTATTAACACAGTAAAAAAAACAAAGTTGTCAATGGACGAGAAGTACTGCGTTTAGATGTAGAAATAAGGTAAAAAAGTTTCAATCGATTTCTTGAACCCTTGCAAATCGACCGTTCGATCCTTTCGGGAAACCGTAGTTAAAGACTCGGAAAAAATAAAAAATAAAGCATTTAAATAAAAAAATAGGTTTTCTTTAGTTTTTTTCAAGCCTTTGCTTATGATCCTTCACAAGCATTTTAAACAAAAAATTGTAAATTTTCAGAAAAATTGAATTTTGCATTTTTTCCTTAATATCCGTAGTATAATGCAAAAATCAATTTTACCGAAAATTCTGAATTCTAAAAACTATGATTTGACAGTTATTTTTAGATTAACTATATATATGGCATACAACGGTATTTTTAAATAGAAACCTTTAATTAATTGGAAGGAGCTAATGCTTTAATAGGCTTCTTCCTTTGTTATAAAGTTCATAAACATCTCCAAAAATAGACGCTGGTCTATTTCGGTTTGGAGAAAATCTCGTGCCAAACGTTATTAGCCACGAAAAGAGCATAGATCTCAGAAATAATATAACAAGTGTTATTCGAATGGGAAAATGAAAATAAAGCCGGATTGTGTTTTTATCGTGACGAAAGACAAGTACAGGACAGCCTGTGCCCAAGGTTCGCATGCTTGAGCCGCAAATAGCGAATCAACGCGCGATCTGCCAAAGAGCGTCCGCCACGCTACACTGAAACACGTACACGTATAGATGGTGCGAAAATTATGAGTTTCGTCAAAAACATTTTTAACCGAAATAAAAGTGAAGAAAGGCGTATTGAAGTGGAGGAAGTCGGTGAAGAGAGTGATGCTACTTCGGTTAGTGAGGAGTCTTCGGATACGGGGTTTTTCACCTCTCCAAACAGTAGTGGTGACTTGGACACCGCGGCTTTAGTGGACACAGACTGCAACTCCATTTCAAATTTTTTTGGATATTGGTAAGGGTTTTCATTATTCTTATTTATGGGTCGTTTTCAAAAAACACCCGCTTTCAGAAAAATGAAGATCAAATTTTTTTTTTGCTTAAATTGACTTTTGGTTGGATTTTTACAAATGTTTTGAGTTTTGTTTACTTACATTTAAGACAGGCAGTGCACTTTTTAATTTTTTTTACGTTTTTTCTCAGAAAAATGTGTTTAGCTAGCTTTATATGTCTCCACTGTGTTACCAATTTAAAATCCAAAATTTAATTCAATAAAAAAACTTGCAGAATAACAACTTAGATTTCTAAATTGTAGACACCCTTTTTCTTTGACTATAAGCTGGTGAAGATCCCTTTTTTAGATCCTTTTTACTTGTATATTGCGTGGAATTTACACTTGGATGTAATCTATACCGTGAGTTGTAATCACAAA